GTGGAGGAGGTGGAGGAGCGGGTGTTGCGGAATGCAATCTACCCGTGAAGATGCTCTTACGGCTGCATTGGTACGGTGGCAATCCAAACTCAACCGGACCCGGGGCAATCGAACCACTAGAACCGGAAGCCTTAGCGGGAATTGGAGACGCAACTGATGGTGCAATGGCCCTAGCTGTAGCCTCGGCTTTAGCTTTCTGCTTCTTTGCTTTGGCTTTGGGACTAAGGGCTACCTCAATTGCCTGTTCAATCCTTCGCATTGCTCCCCCAACCTCACCCGCGAGTGCCTGCAATGCGTTGAATGCAGACGCAGCCTGATCCGCGCCATTTTGGGTAGAGCTCGCGGGGATGGCCGATGGAGGGATGCTTGGGTTCTTTGGTTCGGCAGCTTGCACATGCGACTGAAGTGCGATTAGCTGTTGATGCATAGCCTTAGATAACTCTTGCTGCTCAAGGATCATCTTAGCTTGCTTTTCGAGTCTCTGGTTGAGCTCGCGATTCATCTCTCCTAGCTGTTGGTTCTCAGTTCGGAGGTTTCCGATCACCGTTTCAGCTTCACCCTGAATCACCGAAGCGCGTGAACCCAACTGCTGGTTTTCGGACCTTAGCGCCTGTATGGCGGCATACGACTCACCTTGAATCGCGGCGGCCTGGGCACCTAGCTGTTGGTTCTCTGATCTTAGAGACATAATCACTGCTTCAGCTTCACCGAACACGGCTGCCGTCTCAGCTCTCGCGTTCATAACGGCAGTTGTTGCTTCGGATTGCATGTTTGCATGGGTTACCGGGTCAACTCCAACCTGAAGGACCTGCTGCCTATGGGCATGTTGGTGCAAGTGCAACTCCTGATGGCTCGTGTTCGGGCCGGTTGGGCTTTGACTACTGGCAGGGCCAACATTCGCTGCAAAGGTTGGTGCCGGTTGCAGGGATGAAGACCTCGATGCGGGTCCATACGACAATGATCTAGCCCGGTTCCTCCGAATTGGCCCCGAACTTGATGAATCCGACTGTCTAGCTGCCTCCGGGCGCACGCTAAGTGCCGAAGCCCTAGGGGGTGTGCTTGACGATGAAATTTCCAGTGAGGATTCTTCGAATCCCAGTTGTGATGCTAATGGCATGGTTGACACAAGGGCTTGACTTGGAGTTGACGTGTTGTCCGAGGCTAAAGCTGTAAAAATACTTCACTTCAACCTCACAATACGACTCAACTCGAACCCAACCCTGAGGAGCTGCGTTTGCAGTCTTCCTCTGCCTTTCTGTTTTGTCAGTCGGCGACTAGAGCCAGCAGAGCTCCCACACGATCTGATCCAGAGAACGCGGGTCCTCCTCTGCCCACCTCACACCGTGATGGCCGTAGGATGTCACGTTCTTACAGATCGGATCTTGATCGTCCACGTGATACAGATAATTCAGTGGAGCGGGGCGCGACCGGCTAAAGATATCCGCCAAAGAAGACAATTGTGCTCCTTTGCCTGTGCCCGGCGCAGTCTTAGTAGCCGTGAAGAAGATGGGAAAGGTCAAAGGGCGCCGCACAATCGTCCGATCACAAATTCGGTGGATACACTGGACCGCCTTATCAATGGTCTTTTGCTTTACCGCGTACGAGCAGAAGATGACAGCCAAATCCGAGTGCTCTCGCAAAATTCTCTCGAGGCACGTAGCAGTCCCTTCCTCACTACGGTCAGCGACCAAATGAATGTCCAATGACAGCAGCACCGACGTACCCGGCGGAAGCAATCCCTCCGCAACCTTAAGCGAAGTCACTCGCCGCGCCACAGGCCGAAACCTCAACTCGGGTCCAGCCCCGCTGCTCGTCGATGGCACGCCTGTATCAAGAGTCTCCTCGGCAGCCTCCTCGGCTGATTCAAGAATCTCCTCGGCAGCCTCCTCGGCTGGCTCCGCGGCGATTTCAAGTGGATTCTCAAGATGTTCGGCCGCCTCCTCAAGTCGGGCCCGCTTAGCCTGTCGAAGAAGAGGGTTACCAGATGTAACCGTCACTCTTGTCCCAATAGGGATAAAAGGTTCCAGACCGGGTGCCGACGAAGGTGGAATGCCTTTGGGTCTAGGGGGCGTGGGAGGACGTAACCTACCACCCGGAAGAGTCCCTCTGCCGGAAGTTACACCCCTTACCGAATCCGAATCACCACCCAAGGCACGACGTGCAGGAGGTGGAAACGGCGGCTCGCGAGGCGGGCCAACACCAAGAACGCTAGATGGCGATTCCGCAGCAGTAGCGCTCACGGGTACAGCCCCGGAGATTGTATTGGAGGATGTATTGTCAGGGCCCGGAGTGATTGGCGTCGATTCGGTATGCCGGGGGAAAAGCGGAACCTCCGAAGCCAAAAAGGACGGAAGAGCAGCGCCACGCTCTGGCGTGTTCTGCTGCAACCAAGAGACGTAGCTGTCTGCAGTCCCAAGGTTCTCCCTATCCGCCTCACTCAACACAGCACGCTCGCGCAGCTGTGAAGAATATCCTCCAATGATCTTGAGGTGGAGTGAGCGCCTGGCTCTTCCACTAGAGCCGCCCCCTCCCCTCTTCTCTTCGCAAAGCAATAAGGCCGCGTACAATGCAAACCGCGACTCCGGAGTGCCGCCTCCGCGCTCAACCATACAGTGACGACTTCAAAGGAAAATTGATGGCCGATGAACACCTACCCCAAAACCCGGTGGATGCTCGTCGACCCTGCCGTAAGGCTCGTCTCGAGGCCTTACCCAATTATCCCCCGTTGGCTGCGTAAGCACGCCTCGATGCCTTGCCTCTGAAAGCTGAACCCAGATAATCTCCTTGATTACCCACTGACAACCCAGATGAACAACTGTCAACTAGGAAGACCCCCTGGCTGGCAGACTGAGAGCCGAAGGGATTTGGAATTGATTCTTTGTTTGCCTTTGGCTGTTGTGCTGTGCTGCCGAAGCAGTCTACAGCTGGGATGAGGGACTGAGGAAGCGGTTCAAAGGCCGAGCACGGGAAACACCCACGCTAACCCAAACCAGAAATCTCAATCAACCTCCAATCTCAGCGGAACTCTTACAGGAGGGTTGCTGGGATGCAATCGCACTCCTGACACGTCGCGGTTGTGTTCTGTTCTCTACTGGATCGCCTGTTGCACCACAAGGCCTGGCCTCCTTCGTCCGTGAACGGGACTACGGGAGAGGTGCTAAGGCAGGGCTTTGAGAAACCCGAAGAAGGTTACCACGCGGATGCCTGAGCAAGCAGGCGAATCACGCAGCAGATTTGGACCTCACAGATAATGTGCAAAACCAGGCTGCGATGTAAGCTCTGGTTGGGATCTCAACTGTAGGGTTCTGGCTCTAACCCCAGGAGATTGACAGTGCAGGATATGGAAAGTAGTATGGAAGTGGGCAGGTCTTTGCTAGACCTACGACGAACCGATTTCACGCAACCTTGCTAGTTGCTTGCAGATATGGAATGCACAGACACTAGGCCTGCACGCGGGGCACTATGGCTCGCAGGGGTCCTAGACTCTCCCTAGACGACCACAGTGAATGATATGAAATGCTGAGGCTGTTAACCAGTTGAACACGAAGTAAACCCGTCGTGTTACAAAACAAGCAAAAGCAAGCACTCACAGCACTTCTGTTACTTGAGCCAAATACGTTCGTGTGCGTCGTTCAAGCTGCTCTTCATCTACCTCTTGTAGAGTACTCTTAGCTACATCAAGCAAGTGCGTGGGGCTCGAGTACTGTTAACTTTCCCGGTTTCAGGATTTCTCGTCTTTTAGGATACCCAGTAACCTAAGAATAAAAAGGCCTCTCTTTTTGGTATTGGGTAACTTTATAAGGAACCTAGGACTACAAAAAAGGGAATAAGGGTACTACCGGGCATCCTAGGGATTTTTCGTCTTGAGTCAGGGCAGGTTCGGGGTTCCGGATTTAGGGCTCAGGGGTTCGGAATCTCAGTTCACGAGATTTGGGAGTTTCCGGCAACCTTGATATAGTACCCGAAATAGCAGGATCATTTTTAGAAGGACCCCACGATAAGGTACCCCTTAAGTTTCGGAAACTTGAAACCCTTATAGAGCCCTTTAAAGGTACCCTTATAGTAACCGTTTAAAGGAACAAAAAAGATACCCCCAATTTTCGGAAACTCCCATTTGAGATGGGGCCGAGGATAGGGAGATTTAGGGTCTAATGTAGGTGCCTTAATAATTAGAATAGGGTTTTGAGGGCCCATTATACTATCCATATAATATTAAGGCCCCTATAGTACCTACAGTCTGCAGCCTCCACGGTAGCTCCTTTGATTGGTTAACTTTGGCAGCTGTCAAAACTATGGTCCTGTTTGGGTCCCTATTATAATACGACACCTATTATTTCGGGGTACCCAAAAAGGGACCCTAATTTTGACAACCACTCGCTTGTCAATCAAAGATAGAATAGTTCATGCCATGGGATGAAAACCATAAAAAAAATTGCTAATAGAAGGAACTCCAATGGAGCCTAAACCCTAAACCCGTAAACCCCAAACCCTAAACCCCTAAACCCCAAGCCCCGAAACCCTAAACCCCTTAACATGAACACCAGCACTACTATTCCGTCTGGTTCTTAGCAGGGAATGGGGGAATGGATCCCTATAGTAGTCCCTGAAGGGTCCCTTATAGTAGTCCCTATAACCCACTCCCCCATTCCCTACTAAGCACCAGGGAATATTGGTCTCCAGTAGTTTAGGTTTTTGGGTTTGGGGGTTCCTTGTTGGATTATATGAGCTCCTGGGGCCCGGGACGCTGGGGACAGCAACTACAATGGAGACTATAGGTACTACTGCTATGTCGGCTGCGACTTTCGCTGCTCTAGGTTCTTTGGGTTTTAGAGTTTAGGATTTAGAACTTAGGGTTTAGGGCGCAGGGTTTAGGGTTTAGGGTTTTAGGACTTAGGGTTTAGGGCGCAGGGTCTAGGGTTTGGGGTTGAAAAACTCCGGGGTTAGGTTCACGGGAGCATTCTCCCAAAAACACCACCGGGACAATCTAAAGCAGCACGGTCCACGCACGCGCGGTCGAGCAAGCCCATAAGCCGCGGCAGGACGACAAGCCTGTGACAATGCGGATTTAGCAATGAGAGTATTGAACCAAAGGTTCGTGTTATGTCATGCTGCAAACGGAACAAGAAAAAAAACACCAACAAAAAGCAAAGCAACTTATCAAAAAAACACCCTCAAGACCTCAAAGTCAAAAAACAAGAAAGCCACACTGCAGACCATAGCAACGAGCACGAACCTCCCTGAGTCCCAAGACCATGAGCCCTAAACATTAAACTCTGCCCTTACAGAACCTGAGTAGCACCACATATATCCCTTTAAAGAAGGAACCCCAAACCCTAAACCTAGCAGCTAAACCCTAGACCTTAAACCCTAAACCCCTAAACCCTGGCATCAAAAACACAATCGCTAAAGGCCAAACTGGAAACCCCACAAAGCACCTACTTAGGGGCCTTAATAACTAGAATGGGGTTCTTATTAAAGGGGTCCTTTAAAGGGGGATTTGAATCGAATTTTGGGGTCCACTGCACTATCAGTTCATAGTGAACCCCTAAAATAGTATAGGTAACCATTAAGACCCCTATAGTAACTAGAATACAATGCTTGGGGTTTCTGGGCATGTCTTAGTCTAGACACCTTATAGGGTTCCATGATTAGGAATGATTCAAACTTCTATGTATAATATCCACATATATATATATATATATACATATATACATATGTACAGCATCTAATATAACATATAGGTGTATAGACATGTCGACCATGGTTCAGAGTTTGGGCGCAAGGGGGGAGCCGAAACCGAAGCTCGAGTGGCTCGGGTAACCTGACAACAAAAATCAAAAGTTCAAGATTTGATATTCGGTTTGGGGTTTGGGGTTCTTTAATCTGGTTTGGGGTTCAGGGCTTAGGGTTTGGGGTTTAGACGTCTGCATGTGATCCCGAAACCAAACCCTGCCCCAAACCCCATTCAGCTCAGTGGCACGACGTCGCGGAATGAGAGGCCTGCCAGCGAAAGCGGAAATCCGGCCAGACCCTAAATTTTTAAAGCACTATTGATGTAGGGGCCTTAGCACCTGGAATGATGTAGGAACCTGATTCAGACACTTTGGGCCTTTATTAGGGTTCTCGATATGGATCCTAATATAGTAGCGTCAAGGGGCCAAGGTTTCTTAATCAGGTTCCTACATTAGGCGTTCAGCTTTAATTGGTTCCTTTAACGTGTTCCTATAAGGGTTGCAACAAGGGTAATTAAGGGGGTTTAGTATGGGAGCAGTAATACTTGGAGCAGGGTAGCCCTAAAATAAAGAACTGGTATCTAAGCCTGCTGCCCGAAGACTCCGAAATCTCTTAATTCAGCAGTGTATCTTAAGAAACACCTCAATGACCCTTAAGACTAGACCTAAGAGTAACCTAGGAATAAAAAGGGTGCTCTTTTTAAGGTAAAGGGGGTTATAAGAGAACATCAACCATAAAAAAGGGAATAAGGGCCTACTCTGGGTCCTGGAAGATAAGCTAGCTCAAGCATGTTCAGTCTGGGACTTCGGAGTCCTGTAAACCCTATGCCCTACATAACCCCAACACACACGCACACTCTTTATCGGAAAACTTGTCGTCTAAAAAAAGCTTAGAAAAGACAGTTTTAAAGAATCCCCAAAATACGAGGATTGAGTCCTCGACATTCCAACACGCTTGCTGTAACTCCAAAACTAATCCATTGAGCTTTACATGTGTTTACAGGGGCTTGCCAATGCTTTTGTCGGCCAGTATGCTTCTTGAAAGGTTCTATAAGGTGTAACAGGGTGTTTGTAGTTTTCGTCAAAAGGTCTGACTTGGGGTTGTGAACACGATTTGTACCAACCTGGCTTCGTGCTGGGGAATTTTCAACATCCCTAATTAGATTTCTACTGAAGTTGCACAGGCACGTGTAGTTCATAGGGGGTTTCAGACTGCGTACTTCCGGAGAATACCGCCTACTTTCACTCATCATAAAGTGCCTGAAACCTAAACCCTAAACCCCACATCCTGAAAACCTGACCCGAACATCATAAACCCTGAAACTCCGACATTGGCGGCCCGGACATCATAGACCCCGGAACGTGTATGTATGTGTGTGTGTACATATACATATGTATAAATTCATGGGTGGTTGTCGAAATTATGGCCCCTTTTTGGTCTCGATTAGAATACGGCACCTATTATTTAGGGTTCCCAAACAGGGAACATAATTTTGACAACTACCCATATATGCACATACTACAGACAAGATTTTCATGCACGAGGTGAATGATAGGTTTTCGATATCAAACAGATAAATACAGGTATGGACTAATACATGATACAGAGTATATATATATATATATATATATATATACATACATACATACATACATAATCGCTCCCCTCACAACTCTACGGATACAGATCTTAAAGACGTAAAGATTTTTGTGGATGTTTCAAAATTCCGGCGGAACCTGTCCTTAAATGAGCCATCAAAAGAACCGGAACCTCCAAACCCCCCTTAGCATAGACTAATAGTGTAGGGTTTAGGATTTAGGGGTTTAGGGTTTGGGGGTTTAGGGTTTAGGAATAAAGGGGCCTGAACCTGCCAAGCTTAGTACAACACTCGGGGCTTACAGGGTGTAGGGTTTAGGCTTTGGTTCAGGGTATTGAAACTTCACGACCACGGCACATCCCAAATCCCTAAATCCTAAACTAAATCAAACCCTAAACCCTGTCGACAACTGAAGTTCGCAATGCTCCGCGGCCTGTTATCGACAGGGAGTTTCGAAGGAACTCTGGAACTACGCGCTTTGCCTGTGCAGTTCAAACTAGGGTGTAGGGTTTGGGGTTTAGAGAGTGGGGGTTGAGGGTCTAAGTTTAAGGGTTTAGGATTCTGGTGTTCAGGGCAAGGGTTTGGAGGTTTACGGCTCAGGAGTGAAGAGTGTGGAGGGGGTAGCGCAATCATGATTTAGGTTTAAGGCTAAGGGCTTTTGGTGGTTGAAGGCTTAGGGTTAAAGGCTTTTGTCTAAGGGTTTGGAGGTTTACGGCTTGGGAGCTAAGGGTTTGGAGGTTTGGGGTTTGGGATTCAGGCGGGCGGGTTCAGGGTTTGAGTTTTGTGGTTTGGCCTAGTCTTTTGGGAATCGAGTTAGGGGATTAGGCTTAGGGGTTTGAAGATTTGGGGTCATGGGAATTAGGGGTCAGGGGTTTGGAGGTTTAGGCTTACGGCTTGAGAGTTAAAGCTCTCTGACGGGTTTTGACCGGACTTTATTGAAAGGCTGTGATCAGGATCTGACTAAGTTTGCAGGATGTAGTCATTGGGTTCGACACCTTGCTCAACTGAATGATTACATGGCAGCTCATGTCGACACTTGTAGAACTGGGCTCTACAATACTTCATTGGAGAGTTTAGGGTTTAGGGTTTGGGGTGCTTAAGACGGACCTTGTTTACCGTCCACCTTGAACCTGAATGCTTAAAGCCGTTCTGAAACAGCCGCATGATTAAAGGCTGAAGTTGTTAGCGTCTTCGGGGCGATACGTTGAGACATTCCATAAGACCGCTGTTAAACCCTGTGACAAAACATCATTCTAGCATTCCCTGGGTCATATTTTAGTACGAACGAAACATGGTTCCTAAAGAACACACAACATTGCGTTGCTGACATCCGAATCCCACTGGGTCAAGCCACCGCCGGTCTCGGAATCCTGGGCGGACGGGTGGCATTGCTCGCCCGGTCTTCGGGAAAACTTTGGTTTGGTGGCAACTGTTTACCACCAATCAAAACTTTTGCCTGGACGACCAGCCCCCTTTCCTTCCAGAAGCAGAAGAAAAGAAGGAATGCTGCACTGCATCAGCATCGGCCGGCCAGGAGCGACTTGCGTGCAGTTCCGGCAATCACTCGCCGTCTGTGTCTTCGCGTAGCTACACCTGCACCGTCATGTCCCGGAAAGGGTTCGAAGCTGCGTAGCCGAAGTTAAAGTTCGCCAGTGCCGTCGTTCGTTTACATGGCGCTTCGATCTGCTTGCACAGGATCCATGTCCAGTCGCAGAGCGAGGGGGGCTACGTAATGCTTCTACAAGAAGACTGGGTTTAAGGTTTCAGATTTACCTTATTGCTCGATCAGGCTGCTGTGGTAGGTTTGGAGTGTCGGAAGTTTTGGATTCATTGAAGCACACTAAGTCACAGAATCTCCATAAATATATATATATATATATATATATATATATATAGGTATATATGTATGTATATGCATGTGTGAAGCCTTCGTCAAAAAAACTAACTTACAAACCTATTTGTTACTTAACTTGCTCAAAAGACCCTAACTTAAAGCTCAAGCCCTACAAACTGCGTTCTACCGATTCTGTCAAAGAGGGCCTTGGACTCATTGCTTGACAGTTCGCGGTGTTTTAGCAGTGTCGTACCGACTGCTGAAAACCATCTCTTCATCCCGCCACAAGAAATTGGAAAAAACAAAAACGCAATGTATTGCCCCATCTTCGTGTGTTCCACAACCTGGCAACCCAACTTCCCGCTCATGCTTATACACACCAATTCATGCAATATAGGAGTCTTGTCATTTTGAACACGGTTTTGGGGGTTCTGAGCTCCTGTTGCTGAGCCTTACCTTATTTTATAGGGTCCACATACCCCAGGGTCATATGGGGGTGTCCGAAAACAGGGGACCTAATCCAGCACCCTAAATACGAGAATCCTTATTATAAGGGCCCCTAAATAAGGTACCCCTATATAATTCGGAAACTCCCATATACAGCGTTGAAACTAAACTACGATTGCAACTGTTAAACATTCCATACTGGTCGTATACGCAGACAGCCTTCAGTGTGTAGCGCACAGGCCCATGGGAGTGTCTGATGGTAATTACTCGTTAGTCCGATTTCGCATTGACGGTCACACTAGTTTCTAGCTTGTGAACCTTGATGCTTATGACAGGGTTTTGGGGTATAGTATACTACAAGTGTTTGTAAGCCTGACAGGACCTTTTTGCACACCGAAAAAACCTAAATCCTGAACAGTTTAGGAGCCCCAGCAAAGACAAAGGCATAAGCATTTCACCAAGATACCCCTACCTTATTGGGCTGCACTATAAGGGGATTTGTATGGGATATCTCTATCCTAATTTTTGCTTATGTGCCTTTTGGGGGCCCTAACAATGACCTGCGACCAAGGCACTCTGACTTCCAAGGCATTGCATGCCTGCGGCTCTCGGCGGTTGCACAAAGGTGCTTATATGGGTGGTTGTTAAAATTAGGGTCTCTTTTGGGGTACCCTAAATAATAGGTGCCGTATTTTACGGACCCAAAAACGTATCATAATTTTGATAACCACCCATATAGGGGCCTGAAAAATTACTTAGAACAGGGCTGCGTGTTTGAAACAAAACAGTCTGCGTCTACATATAGTACCGACCCCTAAGGAACAGCAAAAGAATTATTCGCTGTTGGGTTGGGCTCTACCGCGCCTTCGGGTTGTAGGGATTTTCCGGGTGTGCTGGAGTTTGGACGAGTATTTCTGGGGTATGGTCTGCCTTCAACGGGACAAACGCGGGCGTGTCGCAAGATTGCAGCAAGGGGGTTCCAGCTTCGGAGGTGTTGGAGTATCCCTGAAACCCTAAACAAACCCTAAAGCCTAAACCCTACACCCTGAAAGCTAATACCGTAAACCCTGACCCGTAAACCCGAAACCCTAAACCCTGAAACCCTAAACCGTAAACCCTAAACCCTGAAACCCTAAACCGTAAACCGTGTGTAGATTGAAGTTTAGGTTGGGACATCCTCGAGTTAGAACCCCAGGGTCAATTCAGGGTTTAGTGTTTAGGGCAAGTTTAGGGTTTACGGTTTAGGGGTTTAGGGTTGAGGGTTTAGGAAATTAGGGTTTAGGGGTTTAGGGTTCCAGGGTTTAGGGTTCGGGATTGAGGAAGTAGGCTTAATAGAAATTTGCTCAGGGTTTGGGTACAATAAGTTTTGACCGAAAGGCTTTGACCGAAAGTTCAAAGCGTTTAGGATTTCGGCTGGGGCTGGCTGCAGCGGGTGCCATTCTTGGGTGGTTTAGGGAGTTCAAGAGGGACGAAGATATGCAAATTCCATGTATGCCTTTCTTGAGAGTGTAGGGCCTATTGTTTTATGTAGGAACCTCATTAAGAAATCCTGGCCCTATAACCTCAACATAGTAGGATTCATAAAAGGAACTCTAATGAAGGCCCAAGGTTTCTTCATCAGATTCCTACATTAGGGTTTAGGTCCACGCGCGCAGGGTCTGGATGGTTTTTCATCTTCTCTGGACAGGGGCTTGTGGTTTGGGGTTTGGGCCCTAAACCCCAAATCCTAAACCTTCTAGATGCCGCTGAAAAAAAGCCCTAATCCCTGCAACTTAAACCGTGAATACTAAACCCTGAAGGCAGCACTAAGCCCTAAGTGCTGCTTTGGACCCTAAGCCGTAAACCAAACCCGAAGCCTAAACCCTACCTTAACCCTGAAGAACCCACCTTTTTGCGGGGAAATCATAATAGGGAACCCTAAAAAGGTAGGTTCTTCAGGGTTAAGGTAAGCCCTAATCCTCGAACGACCCGCAACTCTCCCGAAACTGGGCGCACGTGGAACCGAAGCTGAAGGAAGAGACAGTAGTATGGTAGAAAGTAGTAGCGGCAGTAGTCGTCGCCGTAGTAGTAGTCGTCGTAGTAGTAGTAGTAGTAGTAGTAGTAGTGGTAGTAGTAGTAGTAGTAGTAGTAGTAGCAGTAGTAGTAGCAGTAGCAGTAGCAGTAGCAGTAGCAGTAGCAGTAGCAGTAGCAGTAGCAGTAGCAGTAGCAGTAGCAGTAGCAGTAGCAGTAGCAGTAGCAGTAGTAGTAGTAGTAGTAGTAGTAGTAGTAGTAGTAGTAGTAGTAGTAGTAGTAGTAGTAGTAGTAAGAATAAGAGCTCTTCGAACAAACATAAGCCCCCAAACCTAAAACCAAACAACCCTTAACAGCCTTAACAGTAAACAACCCTCCCCCTCGCAAAGGCCGAACATCACGACCCACAGATGTGAAACAACTCAAAGATGCTAAGCCATAAACAAGCCCTAAGCCTCGACGCCATGAACCTCTAAGCCCGAGAACCCTCAACTGCAAACCCTCACACCCCTAATACACCAACCCGGAAATGACCCCAAACCCCTAAAGCCGTGAAAACCCCAAGCGCCCCATACCCTGTAGAGAACCGTCAACCCGTGCAGCACCTGTCTGTATAAAGGAACACTATCAAACCCTTCTAGAATCCTGAAACTATATATATATCAGGGTTTTCGGGTTTCCCTAAACCCTAAACCCGAAACCCAACACCCGAAGCCCGAAACCCAAAACCCTAAACCCTAGACCCGAAACCCTAAACCTAAGCCCGAAACCCTAAACCCGAAACCCGAAACTGGCGCTCGGCTGGACCCCAAGCGGCCTCCTCTGGGCGGGCGCACTGCTCCACCAGTTGCAGTTCCTGGCAGGATGCGCGGCCTACCTAGAAAGTAGATCTTTGGAGGGTCATGGGACTTAGTAGGGTTCCTTTAAAGGGGTCCTTTCAGGGATTCTTTAGGGTTTAGGGATCCATAAGGGAAAGTAGATCCCCTAACTTGGGGCCCTACACCACTAAGGGTGCTTATAGGAGCCCCCATTAGGGGATCTACTTTTTGGATCCTCCCGGGGATCTGGGTAGAAGTTTCACGGGATCTACGAGGGTTACTATAAGGAGTCTATCATATCATAGAAAGGGTGGTGGGGGGTACTTAGAGGTTCATGGGACTAAGTTACCAGGGTCATAATTAAGGAAATTATGCTGATGATTATTTCTAACCCCACTTAAGGAACTGATAACCTTACTTACTAAGTCCCATGATACTCCAAGTAGGGCGGTTACTGCATGGGGCTTAGGGTGTGCGCAGAGTTTAAGGCTTTGCGGCATAGAGATTTTAGGGTTTTGGGGTTTTCAGCTTTTAGTGGCTGGGGTTAAGATTTGAGGTTTGCGGTTTCAGCTTTTCTTAAGAGTGCATGAAGCTTAGGCATCCGCTTTTTGGGGGGATGGTTCTATCAAGCATCCTACTACTGGGTTCTCTACAAAACGCCCCCCAAACCTGGAACTGTTTCAGACTATGTCTGACCCTGTCCCTGAAATCTTTAGACATGCAAAGAAACTAACCCAAATCGAAAACGCGAACCATGTCCCCTGTTCGACCCATGTTCTAGGAATGGAGTCTTTCGTAGTTCTTGGTTCAGAAAGTATCGGCAGGGTCTGGAACCCTAAACCCTAAACCCTAAACACAAGCTCTAAACCCTAAACCGGTGGTTTTAGGGTTTGGGGCTTAGGCTTCAGTTCAATGATTCAAGGCTTTAGGATGTTGCTCTCTTCAAACTTTTCGATAGATCTCATGGATAAGCCCAAGAGTTTCAAGTTCCCCCATTGGCAACATGAAGTTTTTAGGGCTTCCTCAACTTCCCCAAACCCCTTAGTAACACGGGTTATAACTACGGTAACTGTACTTAGAACGACTCATATCTCCACTTGGGGTACTTATAACCTTACTTACTAGGTCCCATGATCCTCCAAGCAGAAACCGCTCCTACAAAGAGACAGGCCTCGGCCAGATGCAATGCAGCCTCGACGATTTCCTGGTGTAGGGTTTGTGGTCTAGGGTTTAGGGTTTATGGGTTCAGGGTTTTGGGGTTTAAGGTTTAAAGTTTAGGGGTTTAGGGGTTCAGGCGTTTTGGAGTTTAGGATTTAGGGTGATGAGGCATCTCGCGAGCCTCAAAAACTTTAGGGTTTAGGGTTTTGGGGGTTGAGGCTCGGGGCTTTAGGGGCTTAGGGTTCAGGGGTTTAGGGTTTATGGGTTTGACAGCATGCTTTATCGAAGAGGTTTCATCAATGTAACAACATGTCGAAGGATTTTCGGGTGCAGGGCTTTAGAGCTTCGGGTTTCAAAGGTGTGGTGTACGTTGGGTGTCAAGGTTTGCGGGGCATCTAAGGCTTGGGGCTTATGGGGTCGTAAGCTAACGAGCCCAACTGCCACAACGTGGATCCATTATGAATATCATGCCTCCACTCCTGCAGTAGCTTGAACTAAATTTCTTAACGGAGAAGCTGGTCAAGCCCTTAATACTTACGTCAGGGCTCAGGACTTCAGCTTAAGGCGACGAAGGCCGCATTGAGGCTGTAAGTGTTTGGGGAGTTGCATGCAAGGGAGTTGGGTTGGGTACTGCCCCACCCCTGAAACAGTTTATGGTCGGAGTCACCGATTAGCGGCTGTCTACCTGTATATATACATATAGATACATAACATAAGACATTCTCCAACTGTTACAGCGTGGGCGCAGTACCCAAGGTGTGGTTTGATGTAGTGGCCTGATTACTTGCCAACATTATTCCTTGGCGTGCCTGCTTGAATTTGCATTATTTTGCACCCCCAAGCACTGTTCTGAATATTACCCTAAACCCTAAACCCTGTAAGGCCCCCAAAGGAATGTATGAAGGGGCTCGGGGTCGGGGGCTTGGGCTGTAGATAAGCAACCCTACATCCTAGACCCTGAACACGAAATCCTCAAGAACAAATCCTAAACCCAGAAGGATCCTTGAAAGGACCCCTTGAATCACCTTTAAAGGGTCCTAAACCCTAAACCCTAAAACCTACATGAACCTGAAACCCTCAAGCCCTTAAGGATCCCTTGAAAGGGCGTCTTTAGAAGACCCCTTTGAAGGACCCCTTTCCGTGTCCTTACGGTCAGCTTCAACGCTGCAGTACGCGTTGGCGAAGGAGAACCTGTGCCCGAGGCTTCCTCCCTAAGCCCCTAAACCCTAGGGTTTAGGCTTTAGGGTCTAGGGTTTAGGGTTTACGGCCTTTAGGGTCTAGGGTCTAGGGTTTAGGGTTTAGGGCCTAGGGTTTAGGGTTTAGGGTGTAGGGGCCTTACTCATTAGAATAAGGCTCCTTTAAGGGTTCCTTAAAAAAGGGGTGTATAAGGGTTACTATAAGGGTGTATTATAGGGGCCTTACAAATTAGAACAGGGTTTCGGGGTGTCTTAAACTATAGTTATAATTATAGGAGCCCCCAAAACCCAATTCTGGTCATTTAGACCCCTACATTGACCCTTTCAAGCCAATGCCGGCGAGAGGCTTCTCGATCTGGTCCCCCAACTCCGAGAAAGTCCGGCCCCATACACCTTGGGACATCGAGGTTCATGGTTTTAGAGTTTCAGGTTTGGGGGTTTAGGGTTTACAGTGTAGGATTTAGGGGAGTGATAAGTGGGTTCAACCCGTGAACCTCCAAGTGGGCTTTTGGCTCAGGGTTTCCCTAAACCCACGGTTTAGGGCCTAGGGTACACCCAAACCCCTAAAACCCAAAAGCCCCAAGTCTGCCAAACCTCGCCGAGGCTCGAAGCAGCGCAAAAAGCCATAAGAGCAACGCGAAGGACAACCTTAGGGCTGCTTGGCTCACTTCTGAACCCTTCCTAAAAGTTAAACTTTTAGCCTCCTTATTACAGTTCATATAGAAACCCAAAAAGCCTAAAGAGCCCACCAGAAGAACGCCAAGGCTGTTGTTATCTAAGTAGCACAGGGAGAAAGAAGTATAGACGTTCAGGTCATAATGGTTCTGTTCAGGAACAAGTACCCAAAAAAAGGCATTATTGAAGTACGGTACTCCAGAATCCAGATCGGAGGGTCTGGGTTTGAGTCTCGGGCCAGTTCCCAGTATTCGATTTGGGAGTTTCCGAAAAGATCGGACCCCAATAGAGTACGTTACATCGTAGGATCCTCATTTTAAGGACCCCAGAATAAGGCCCTAATTGTGGAAAACTCTTATTTAGGCCTTCAAGGTTGCGCCCTAAACCCTGTGGTCCAAGGCTCTGCGGCCTTTCCGGGAACCCCGAAACTCTGAGGGTTGCACGGTTTGGGGCGCCAACACGGAACCGTTTTGTTTTCGGGGTTTCGGGTTTAGGGGTTTAGGGCTTAGGGTTTCGGGGTTCAGGGGTTTAGGGTTTAGGGATTAAGGTTTAGGGGTTTAGGCTTTAGGTGTTTAGGGGTTTAGGGGTTTAGGGTTTAGGGCTTAGGGTTTGGGTTTAGGGTCTTAACCACTACCTACCAGTACCTTCTTCCCACCTTTTGAGGCCTCCGGCACTGGCAAACTCAGGAAACCGACCCGTCAACAAAGGAAGAAGTAGAAATCGAAAATGGGAGTTTCCGAAACTTAGGGGCACGTTGTTTTGGGCTCCTTATAACTATAATAAGGATCCTACTATTTAAGGTACTATATTGAGGTCACGTATGTTCGGAAACTCCCAAATGTACAAACTCTGCACTAGGAGTTAGGGTTAGGGGGCCCTTGGAAAACATGGACCCTCTCAATGATAATACAGTCTGTTTTAAAAGAGCCAGAAGTAGGGTTAACAAGGGTCCCTTCAAGGGGTCTCCGTAATACTACCTGGAATACCCCTACCCCCTCGGAAATTCTGCAACAAAACATATAACCCGGAGGCTCGAATATGCCTCAATTAGGGCCATTCGGGAATGTTCCCTAAGCTATAATGCGCAAACCTATCTAGTTCAGGGGATAGTCTGCGGCTAAGCGGTAATGGGCCGCACAAAGCCCTGAAACTTGTAAAACGAAAGCTTAAACCCTGAATGTTCTACATACTCAACCTTAGCATGGAAACTAAACCCTAAACCCCAAAAGTATAGAAGCTGATTGCACCCCACGCAACGCTCCCGAAATAACGGACAGCACCAGCGTCCCAGGGTCCTGGAGCCACACTCAAAGAGCGACTCTACCCAGCTTGTAAACAAGGTTTAGGGTTTAGGGTTTTAGGGTCTAGGGTTTAGGGCTATGGATAAGGGGTTTAGGATCTAGGGTCTAGGGTTTAGAGTGTAGGGTTTGGCGTAGAGTAGCGCATAAGCGGAAATACCTTGCGACAGTGTAAGGCAGAAACAGTGTGGGCAGCAACAGCGTAGGGTCCACTACCCTGTTTTTAAGGAGTCTAGGCTAGGTCTCACAGCTGTACCCGCTGCCCTTTCGATTGTGGGGTCTCCTGTTTTGGGAGGGAGCCCTAAACCCCAAACCCTACACCCTGAACCCTAATTAAGGGGGCTACTGGGATACCGGAGGAGTGGTCACTTGAAACATGCGGCGCTTCTTAAACAATCGGCAGGAGAAACTTATCGGGCTTCTTATATTGGGGCTTAGGGTTTAGGGTTTAGTTTAGGGTTCATTAAAATATCTAGGTCTTCATGTTCTCAAAGAGGCGATGATGCCTCATTTTTTGTAGGGAGCCTTCTGTCTTGCGGGATGCTCCCTTCAGAGGGCTTTGGGGATCCTCATTTTATATTAGCCTTTGAAGATGAGGGGTTGATGAATCAGGGGTCTACATACCCCCCAAACCCTGAAATCCTAAAACCCCCAAACCTGTAAACCCTAAACCCCCAAACCCTGAACCCTAAACCCCAAACCCCAAAACCCCTAAACCCGAACCCCGGAACCCTAAACCCCCAAACCCCCAAACCTCCTAACCCCAAGCCCCCAAACCCTAAACCCGAAAACCCTACGGCGAAGGCTAGGATTTCGGATGTTTGGCTCGGGGTTTCAGGCAAATTCAGACGCACTGTAAGGCCACCATAACAGGTTACTATAATGGGTTAATATAGGGGCGCTCATTATGCTATAATTATAATCAGGATCCCCCCAAAAAATATAGTACAGGCAACTATAAATGCCCCTATATTCCCACTAGGGGCCCGAAGCCAGCCGCCCCCCCCCCCCACCCCGGAGTCCTGTGATGCTCTCCAGACGAAAAAATAGAACATGGAGACCTCTCCAAGCAAGCAGCAACAAATTGTCGGTGGGGTTGGGGCTGCATTTGCAAGGGCGTTGAAGTAGTCGCTCCAATGTTCAAGTTTAATGCCTGAGCAGCCTTTTCTTATATGCAGGGTTTCGAACCACCGTCAAGAGTACTAGACCCAAAACGAAATGGCTCTTGAATAAGGGCCCGTAAAGGAACCCGATTATAGCACCCTATCATGGTACCCTTCAATACACCCTACTGTATTATACCCTGTTATAGTGCCCGATTCTAGTATTCTATTATGGTACCCTTACAGCACCCTTGAAGGGACCCTGGAAGGGGCCGCCATATGATCCCTGTGGTCAGAATCCTGGGTCTCTCCCATAAGGCCTTCTACCGCGTTTAGGGTTGAGGGTTCAAAGCCTTGGTGGGTTCCTCGGAGGGTTTCCTTTAGGGGGTTCCTCGTTCCTCAAAAGGGCTTCGGGGTTTGGGTGTAAGGTTACACACGGATGCTGACTGAGAAGTGTTATAGCCAGGGATAGGGTCGTAGCAAGATTTCATAGTAGAGAGCCAGAATAAAATGGAGTTGGGCTTTGGGCTTGTGGGTTTATTGAAGTACGCCCTAAAACCTTAGGTTGGACTATGAGGGGACACATTACTGATTTGCCAGACCTCTTGCCTCAGACTTTCTTTCGACTTCGGACAGTAAGCCGTTCGCAGCGTGAATGCAAGACAACCCCAAGCCTTTTTAGGGTTTCTAGGGGTTTAGAGTTTAAGGGTTTAGGGGTTTAGGGGTTTAGGGCGCCGGGTCTGTGTACTGACGACGTCCCCTGATCCCTCAAAGGCGGGCTCTCAGGCCTACTGCTCGAAGGATCAGGCGATTTATTAAGTCGAGCTATAGGTACCTTATGTGGGGTTGTATTTAGATATGTCACCTACAGTTGCCCAACTTACTAATTAATTAAGGCCCGGATACTTCGACCTTGTAGCCAGGATTTTGGCGACTCGGGTTTGATTCCACATCGGGGGGATAAAGTGACCACAGCACAAGAATTTTCGGCTTGATCAAACGCATGGCAACAGTGACACTGGAAGAGTGTCGAAACTTCACAAAAATACGTCGTCGCAACCCTCAACCCTAAACCCTCAACCCTAAACCCCTAAACCCTAAAACCCTAAACCCTAAACCCTACAAACCCTCAACCCTAAACGCCAAACCCTAAACCCCAAACCCTATAAACCCTAAACCCCCTAAACACCTAAACACCTGAACCCTAAACCCCGTACAACCCGAAACCGGAGATCAAACCCCACAGTAAAAATCGATTCAAGAGGCCTCGTAGACTGGACGGAAGAGGAGGCCGACTGCGCCTGTTGCGGGTGTTGCGGGGGTTCATTGAATTAGGATTTAACGTTTAGATTAGAATTTGGAGTTTAGTGAGATCTGTAAGGTTCCTTAAGGGATCTATAGGGCTTAGGGTTCAGGGTTCATTAAGGGGGGTTCTGTGGGGTTTAACTTGGTTTAGGGTTTAGGGTTGAGGGTTTAGGACTTAACGTTTCGATTAGACTTTGGAGTTTAGGGATATAGTGTTTAAGCCCTTAAAGGGTTCATTAAATTAGGATTTCACTTGGTTTAGGGTTTAGGGTTGAGGGTTTCGGGTTGAGGGTTTAGGGTGGAGGGTTTAGGGTGGAGGGTTTAGGGTTTAGGGTTTGATTTAACGTTTAGAGTTTGGAGCTTAGTGTTTAAACCCTTAAGGTTAAGGTTTCACAGGATTGTATAATAAGGACTTCAGCGGGGCTCTTTAAGCGTTGCTTCTGGGTTCTATGCTAAGTACCAACGGTACCATACAGTTCAGGGATCTGCCGGGGGTTCACCTGTTTTGGGCTGGGTTCCTGAGTAGCCCCTTAATAATTTTTAAGGGTATCCTTTTTCCTTGCTATGTTGTTTTAATGAGGGAAACCAAAAAGAAAGAGGCAAAAGAGTCCTACTCAGGAACCTATTTTGGGAATTCGAGACTTTATCTTTTCTGCTTTCCTTGCACCGGGACTAGCGCCATGATTCCGATCAATCGGTAGCGCTGCGCGCCCTCTGCAATGAACGAGTTGCGTTGCCTGCCCACAACATCGTATCATCACTCACCAGTACTTCCTCCACTTGAGGTGCATCTGCCATTCCTGAACTTGAGCTTCTTGAGTGTGAGCTTGATGACTCTGTACCTGCCCTGCCTGCTGAGGTAGATGTCGACTGAGGGCCCACAACGAGGACACTCAACCCTCCTCTCACCGTGAACTCGGTCAAAGCTGATGGGATCCTCAAGCCGAGTGCCCTGCCTCAGGAAATTGAGCAACTGCAAATCTGCCATTTTCTCAGGACAACCCTCATCGGAAACCCAAGTCATGGCGAGTTTGGGTCGGAGACGGTTTCGGGTTTATGGGTAGGAAGGTTCCTTGCAAGGGGTCTATCAGGGCTACTACAAAGGCCGTTACAAGGATTTAGGAAAGGGGCCTTAATTATCAGAACAGGGTTCTGGGGCCCAGAAACTCTTCAGAACTGATACCCGTATGCCTCACAGAGAAATGCTTTCACATTGGGCTTAGGGTTTAGGTTGGGTACTGCCCCCATACAGTAACAGTCTTCAAGAGAGCCGCTATTAAGGCCCTACATCATATACCCCCAGACAGTAGCAGTCTACAAGAGGGTCGCTATTAAGGTCCTACATCATATACCCATATTATCCAACTGTTGCTGAGTGGGGGCAGCATCCATGGTTTAGGGTTGGAGGCGTGCCAGACTTCTAGTTGGGTCACAAGTGCTGCTGCAAGAAACCAGCGACAGAAAAACCTGCGCTCCGGCGTAACCCTAAACCCTAAACTAAACCTTGACCTTACCCCAAGAGCCCAGTCACCTACATAATGGATCACAAAGTACTACTAACCAAACACTAAACCGACTATAGCGAACCCCAGAAAGTTGGAACATACATTTAGGATGATCCATGCTGGGGTTCCCTATACTTTACTTTATAAGGGCAGGAGGCTAATGATGTTCCAACTTTCTGGCTTCTACTGTAAACCTACTCTGCATTACACAATGGATTACTCGGTGCCAACTTCTAAGGGCTGAAGTCATAACTACCTACTATTTGCTTAAGAAACCCACAAAAAATAAAATAATAATCCCTATAGTACCCCCCGTAAGGAATATTTTTTTTGTATTTTTTGGGGGGTTCTTAAGCAAATAGTAGCTACAGGTGCGACCTCTGAGTCCTTTGACCCCGTGCGATTTTCTTAAAACCACAAAACCCTGAACCCAAAAGCCCTGAAGAGCCCACCTGCTGCGCTCATAGGCCCAAAAGGTGAGAAAAAGAAGTCCTACAGTGGTCAATACTAAGGCGAAAAAAGTGTAAAGTGCACTCATTCAGCTACTCAGCTGGCGCGAACCCTAAACCGTAAACCCCAACTCAAAACCCTAAACCCAAAACCCAAAACCCGAACCCTAAACCTTCAACCCCAACCCAAAACCCTATACCCTAAACCCCAAAACCCTAAACCTTTCAACTGCTCTCCCTCTGTCCACCTGCGCCGGCTATCGCAACAGCCAAGGCCTCGGATGATGTTTTCGCGCTCCTTCTTAAGAGGGTTTAGGGTTTAGGGTCTACCTATTGTGTACAGCGCTCAGGACTCAGCGCTCAGGACTCACGCAGGAGGAGGAGTCGGGGTCCAGGAATAAATTCTGACAGAGATCTAATGGTACGGCTTCTTTGTAGGATCGGGAGTTGAGAGCTGGGTAGATAAGGGTACTTTGGTCTAGTGTGCTTTTTAAGGCTAATAGTTTAGGGTTTGGGATTCAGGGTTCAAGGTTTAGTTTAAGGTTTTGGGTTGAGGCTTTTAGGTTTAGGTATTCTGGTTTGGTTCCTAGGGGCTCGGCATTCCGGGGACGAGGATGAGAATGAAAACCCAATTTTGGGGTTGAAGACTTTTAAACCCTGAGCACTACATGCCAAAACATAAAGTCTTCAAGCGGCGTTCGGCTGGCCGAATGTAGGGACCCAAAACCCCAAACCTCAAACCCTAAACCCTGAACCCCCAAACCCCAAACCCTAAACCTCTAACCCCCAAGCCCCTACGGCAAACCGCAAAGCCCCAAATTGCAAGCAGGGCGCCACTGGCTTCACAATCACCTTCCAGGGAGCTTTGACAGAGGGCTTAGGATTTAGGGTTCAGGGTTTAGGGTTTAGGGACTTAGGGAATGCAGTATTGTGATGAGGGTTTACTACTATGACCAATATGAGCTATTGTTTCCTATCGTCGTGGTAGCAGCAGCAGGAGTTTGCATCGAATCTTGTCCAATGTGGACTTTCGGGCCCAGAGTTTCACTTAGCCTGAGGATCCACACACTCACTATCTATCGACATCATCCACGGCCACGCTGAAGCTCCGGAGAGGCAGAGACAGACGTTTAGACATGAAGGCATGCCACTGTTTATATGATTTCGGAAGGATGTAACACCCCAAAACCCTTAAACCCTAAACCCGTAATTTGCTTGTTGTGACATGTTTGGACTTGGGCTTTTGCGACCATCAAGCCGGACCCAGGACCCCAAACACAGTGTGGTGTACCCTAGGGGTCCATGTACTCATAGGGTTCCTGTACGAGTTCCTTGAAGGTTTCCGTGGGGTGTAAGGGTTCAATCTAAGGGTCCATGTACCAAATAGTATATACTTCGGCCTTAAAGTACTCCCTGTATAGGTACATTGGGGCCAAAGTGTATACCTAATATAGCGGCCTTAATGATTAAAATGGGATCTATAAGGGATACTATAAGGGATCTGTCTTAGCAGGGGACTATACTTTAGGGCCCTAAAATGATTGGAATACGGTTTTGGGGCCCATTATACTATATTGGTAATAAGGAACCCTCAAGATAGTACTGGTATTTACTTAAGCCCCTATAATAAGCCCCTAAACAGCAAACCCTAAACCCCCAAGCCCGACATCCTGCAAAACCTACAAGGAAGCGCTTAACAACCGAGTAGAAGCCCGCAAAGACCTAAAGGAGCCCTTGGTCTCTCTGATATCTGATAGGGACTGTATATCTTTCTAGGAGATGAGGGCTCTGTTTAAACTTTGGAGTTTAGGGGGCTTAGGGCTTAAGGAACAATTGTGGTTTGACGTCTTGGGTGTTTAGGGAACCTCGGCATTTCGGAGAGAGGCTCTGGAAGTGGGGCTTCAGACCTCCCCCGGTTGAGGGTCTAGGGTTTTAGAGGTTTTGGGTTTAGGGCTTCAAATTTGTAGGGTTTTAGAGGTTTGGGGCTTCACCCTTAGAGTCTTAGGGCCCGAAACATCGAAGACCTAAACCCACGTTAACATGTGCACAGGCAACCCTCGACCCTAAGCCCTGCAGCGAAGCACCAAAAACTTATTTGTAAACTCCTCATACAGCTTTTGCAAAGTCGCAAAGCCCCAACAAGCCTAAAATCCTGAAACCGTATACCTAAACCCTAAACCCTGGACCCCAAACCCCAAGCCCAAAGCTCTAAATCCTAAATCCTAAAACCCTACAGTAAACCCAAAGCCCTAAACACTAAAAGAGTACACCTCAACGGCCGTAGACCCAATCAGCCTCGCCCTGAACGGAACCTTGAGGGAAGTCTAAACATGAAACCCCAAAGCCCCAAACACCTAAAACCCTACACACTAAACCCCAGACCGTAGACCCTAAAGCTCGAACCCCGAACCCTAAACCCAAAACCCTGATACATGCTCGCGGCCTTCTCGTAGGGCTTCATGGCCAGGAAAGCCGTCAACTCAAAAACCGTCCAGATCCTCATGGTCATTCACAGGCTTTCTTTAAAGGGCTTAAAGTTAGGGTTTACGGTTCTTCTAGAAAAATCTTTACCGGGCTTAGCTTTACAGGGCTTAGGGTTAGGGTTTACGGTTTTTCTAGGAAACCTTTAAAGGGCTTCTACGGTATGGCGTTTTTGGGGTTGTAGGGCTTTAGGGTTGAGGGTAGAGGATTGAGGGTGTACAAAAGGTTTTGGGGTTTAGGGTTCAGGGTTTAGGGAAAGGGGTGGTATATGTTGTTTTTTATTTTCTATGTGTTTTCTTTGTTTGTTCCGGCCGCGTCGCAAGCAAGCAAGCATGCAAGCATGCAAGCATGCAAGCATGCAAGCATGCAATCATGCAAGCAAGCAGCGCAAAAAACAAGCGAGCAAGCGAGCAAGCAAGCCAGCAAGCCAGCGAGCAAGCGAGCGAGCAAGCGAGCAAGCGAGCAAGCATGCGAGCAAGCATGCGTGCAAGCATGCAAGCATGCAAGCATGCAAGCATGCAAGCATGCAAGCATGCAAGCAAACAAGCAAGCAAGCAAGCAAAGAAGTAAGCAAGCAAGAAAGGAAGCAAGGAAGGAAGGAAGGAAGGAAGGAAGCGAGCAAGCAAAGAAGCAAGTAAGCAAGAGAGGAAGCAAGGAAGGAAGGAAGCAAAGAAGTAACCAAACAAGAAAGGAAGCAAGGAAGGAGCGAGCAAGCAAGCAAAGAAGTTAGCATGCAAGAAAGGAAGCAAGGAAAGAAGCAAGCAAGCAAGCTTCGGGGCGCATGCCTGTAGAACAGAAGTGTATCTGTAAAGTGTGTGTGTGTATATATAAACAGTAGTTATTATACGTTTGTATATATATATATAGAGAGAGAGAGACATACACATGCATATACATATACATGCATATACATACGCATACATGTATATGCAACAAGTAGCTGAATGTCTATGTGTATATGAACAAATATGCCTACATAACACGATTGGTGAAAAACTGCGACGTTTCTTCGCTCAATCCCAACTCGTAGAAGCACACTATGATTGCACAATATCTAGGCATTGGGCCACCTTGCCGCGGTGCTAGGGCTCAGCACCCGCTCGACAGAGGGGGTAAACAAGGAAAACGGACAAAAAATTGCAAAAGCACGGTAAAAATAAGCAACTAAAACCAAGCCCAGGGGGTCTCGTCCAGTCATCACGGAATCGCCTGCTTTCCCGGCCACGCCGGTATGGCCATTCATAGCGAGGTCGGGTCTGCTGCCGGGACTGGGGGAAGGCTTCAAGTCATGCACTTGTTTTTCTAAATGCCCTTGCATCTAAAACTTTCCAGCCAACGGCGCCCAAGCGCAGACACCGACCTTAGGTCGGTGCGGCCTGGTCGCGTTCCAAAAGCCCCGGCGCAGCTCCTCGCAAGCTTTACAACGTCGCGGGTCCGTGTCGGGGAAGCCCGGATATAATTGCCCGCTTGCATCTGGCTTGCCCCTGTCACTCCGCTTTCGCTTCCCTCCAGCAGCGGCGAGCCCGAGGAGAAGGAGGACGAGCGATCCTCACCCATCCCGTCAAGTTCCTCCTCCTTTTTCTGGATGGCGGCCAGTAGCTTCCGCATCTTTTCGTGTTCTTCGCGGAGCGCCCCCTTCTCGTGGAGGAACTTTGCCTTCATGACTCCGAGGCCAAGGCGGATGGAAGAACCGTTAGAAGGCATGAGTTGGAAGATGAGTGTCAGCAGCGCAAATTTCTTGGGCCGATCTAAGTTGCGGTATATGCTTGCTCCACTACCGATAATGTCATGCGACCCTTCGTCAATCGCATCGAACCAGCAAAACACGCGCTTCGGACTCTGCATAGCCATCTCCTTCGGCATTTTCTCCGCACCACTCTCTTGACTTCCGCAGTGTCGACATCATTAGCCACCGTGTCCTCCACCTCCGACCAGGAACATCGGCAGCGATGTCAGCCGTCTCGAACGTGGGCATGTCATTGAATTGGCGCATTCCTACGGGGCTCACTGAGTCGCATGCTGGTCATACCCAGACCTTCCAAAATCCCTGTATTAAGGAATATACCTTAAATCATATTGGGGATCCTACTATAATTTAAGCTATATTCCTTAATTAAGGGGTTTTGGAAGGTCTGGGTAACAGGCTACAAGTACACATGCTACATGCAAGCTACGCGAGAAACTGTCATTGAATTCGCTGAAATCCCTCTTGTTGATGTAGGCTAGACCCTAGATCCTTAGACCCAAACATGCACGTTCAGCGAAGCCCTACGCCAAGAACAAACACACAATGCAGAACTACGGTTTAGGGACGTTTCGGGCTTCGTGTTAAGAAGACTGCAACCTTGCTTTTCTACAGAATTGTGCAGCTTGTTTAGTAGAACGGCTTGATAGGGTGACTATACTCAAACCGAAGTCGTTGGCCCCACATGACTACTGCCCTGATTTGGGGAGCTACCAGCAGGCTCATAAGTCGTCAGGAGGAGGATTATACGATTTAGGGTCTACGGCTTAGGATGGCTTCAGGCTCAAGGTTTTGGGGCCCTTCAGAATTCTAGAAATGCAGAGCACTGGGCTTAGGGTTTACGGATTAGGGTTTAGGGCTTAGTGGGCCTTCACACACCTTTCAAATCGCGTGACAGCCCGTAAAGCCTAAATCCCAAACCCTAAACCTCAACCTTTTTGAGTGCGAGTGGCCGCTGAAGGCTGTTGTGGGAGAGCAACACCAGCCTTGGTTTGGCTTGCTTTCGGTAGTTGGGTCAAAGTTTTAGGGTTCAAGGTTCAGAGTTTCGGGTGTAGGGATCAGGGATCAGGGACAAGGGTCCAAGGTTTGGGGTTTTGGGGTTTTGGCTTGTATGCTTGTTGCAAGTAGGGCTGGATGTGGCTGTGGTGTGGCCTTCTACGGCTTTCTACAGATTGAAAAAGCTTGCTGGGCACCTCCTAAGCGGCTGATAGGAACAATAAAATGCAGCTTTTTAGAAAATGACCACAACCCTAAACCCTAAACCCTAAAGGCATTTTCAGGATATGACCTCATAGCAACAGTTAGAATAAGGAACCCTAAGGAACCCTAACGAATAACAGTTTCAGTATTTAGGCTTCTGTATTATGGCTTATGGCATGGGCAGTCTCTACAACGACGGCGACAAGGAGGCCGAGAAGGCCCGAGAAGACGAAGACGAAGAAGCCGACCGCGACGATGGCGGAGGAAACAACAGGTTGCAGTGGCGATGACGAACGCCACGGCGATTGCCAAGAATACTACCGCTATCACTGCCACTACCAGTGCCACTTCCAGAACTAGTATCACTACCAAAATTACCACTACGACGGCTACAACTAGAGCGAACGGCAACGACGAAGACGACGACGACTACTCCTCTAAACAAATTTGCCCTCACGCTCGCGGGTTCGGGAGCCCAATAAAGGGGCCTTACAGATTAGAATAACACTACAAAAGCCACTTTAGTATAGTATAATTCTGACAAAGAACCTGAATAAACACTACTTCTAAACCGTCGTTGTTGCGTAATCTTCGTGATGCAACTCTCGCAGCCGAGAAGCAAGGTCTCAGAGTGCCAAAGGTACGCGGTAATGGCACCGATGCCCTGCCTTTCACGAACGGGCCAATTTTGGGGGAACCTTCGGGCACGTGCATGTTCTACACGGAGACTTTCATGAGATATATCACTTCTAACTATTCAGACCTCTTGTCATAGTCATTACTTACGGGCTCAAGAGCCAGCAGGGCTAGAAATTGGGATTTTTCGTACCCTAAGCAGGGTTCTCCTAATTACAACCTCACTTGTAGCACTTACTCACTAATGCTTCAAGTTTCTGCGGCCCCGATGAAAATGTATGCTCTACCCGGACCCAACTCATATGGAGCTACAAACAAGCCTCATAATAAAGGAACGCTGCTCGTTATTAGGCCCTTCACCTTGCTGTGAAAGCCCAGCGGAATGTTCCAGATTTCTCACTTGCGGGAATTGGGTTGCGCGCTTCGTCAGTATCGACCTCCGAGCCTGCCTTGTGGCAGCCATCTGCTAGTACTTCTGTGTTCCGTTGCTGTGCTGTGTCTTCTCCGTTATGCTTGGAGTGGAAACAGCCGCCTCATGTATTCAAAACCCCAACCCCAAGCCTCTGTGATGCCGAAACTACCTCGCAGTAGCTAGAACATGAAGCTAATCGCATCAAACTAATGCTGGGTATTCGAAGCCCTGGTATATGTAGGGGAAATCACAATAATTCTTGAGACCTGTTCGTTAACTTTGTGCGAAATTTCGGTACCAGCATACAGCCCCCACAAAGCTACATTCAGGTTATCCACTCCTGAACCAAGAACTCCAAAAAGACACCTTTAACCAAGCAACCTTGAGCTCTGGAACCCTAAAGCACTCTGTAAACGTTACATCCTATGATAGTTGAAGCCCTCAACCAAGACTGTTAAACCCCGAGAACATGCACAGCTCTGATAGCTTGTGCCTACGTACTGAAAGGATTAGGGGCTTAAGTAAGCGGGATGATGGAAGTTCAATAGTTGCATTCACAAGTACATATACAACATGCTTACAGTCATCTGACGTACAACCGACCTACTATCAGAGCGGTTTGCAGCAGAAAGCTAATGTCTACTATAGGCGCCTTACTGATTGGAATAGTGTTGTGGCTGTCCTATACAGCAATAATAAGGAACCCTGAGGAAGAGTACTGGAATTGTTCCGACCGTTACATGGGAGTTTCCCCCAAAATGAGGAACCCTAATATGGTACCCTAAATGGTAGGAGCCCTATTATAAGGGCCCCCAAATTTCGGAAACTCCCACATCACTACTAGCATGCTCAGGTTTCGGGTTCGATCGGCACGACTCCCAATAAGTGCCTTCCTTAAATCCGAAGCGAAATAACAAAGGCCCTTGCCGTAAGTACACTGCCTAAACTCCAAGGGTAAAAGGAGGGACCCTTAATAAGGACCCTAGGTATATACCCATAATATATATAGCTATTATATACCAATTACATAGCCCATTTTCGGGTAGGGGTCCCCATTAAGGGTCCCTCCATTTTCCCCTTTGATAAACAGTCAGGCCCTGCTGAGCCCTCAACCTGATACCCTGAACCCTAAACCCTGAACAGGGTTTAGGGTTTAGGGTTGAACAGCCTCTTCTGCTTGTAGCTCGTCTGGTCGATGCACGCAGCATCATAGAAGTTGTCGTAGTGCTGGAAGCCTTTTGGAGACATGGCCCTAGACCCGAAACCCTTAACTTTAACCCTAAAACCTATACTCGTGTTTAGGGTTTCGGGCTTGAGGGAGGCCTGTACGCTTCCTACACTTCAGGGTTTAGGGCTCAGGGTTACTTCACAGGTTTATAAAAAAGTATAGATATCATAAGTACTCATAATGGCATCTCAAAAAGGTAGTGGGGCCTGCTAACCCTATACCCTACAACCCACAATTAGGGCTTACGGTTTAGGGGTTTAGGGGGTCAGCGTTTAGGGTTTAGGGCACTGCACCTCCAACCCCAAAACAATCCTACGCTCCACAGCCCAAGCCCTGAGCACGTGTCGGACCCCTACTTAAAGGCTCATGGGACTTAGTAAGGGCTCCTTAAGGGGATCTATAGGGTTCCTTAAAGGGATCTACGGGGTTTAGGGTTTAGGGTCTACTTAAAGGCTCATGGGACTTAGTAAGTAAGGTTATAAGTAGGTTATAATTAGGATAACCCCACTTAGGGGACTTATAACCCCAATTACAACCCACTTACTAAGTCCCATGAGCCTTTAAGAAGAATATTGACATGCATATGCGAGCCTTGCTACAGGAACCTTTTAAGACATGCAAACTCCAAAACCCTAAACCCTAAAGTCCTGAACCCTAAACCCTAATTCCTTAATCCTTTAAATCCCTAAAACCTAAAATCCTGAACCCTAAACCCCAAACCCTCGTCAGCATCAAGGAACTCTTGAGCCAGCATTGCCAATGCTTTGCGTAATTTCGAGGCCTTATTAATTAGAACAGGGTTCCCTTTAAAGCGGGTCCTTTGAAGGGATCTGTAAGGGTTCCGTAGTAGGGTTCTATAGTATAAGGCAGCCATGCTATGAACCTCCACCGGCTCCAGCAGGGCCAGCGTGCCCAACTGACAACTTTGCGAATGCAGCTGTGGCCAAACTTCTTGCACAAATGTGCCCCATCCGAGAAGCACTTTGCTTGCAAGGTGCCATACATGTAAGGCAGTATGAACTTGTATGTGCTGAAACGCCGATAACCTTCATGCGATCACAAGGAGTCCAGCACCGACAAGCACCGAGCACTAGCTTTCTGGACTGACACGTGGGAGATTCCGAAAATTAGGGGTACCTTATTTGGGGGGGTCCTTATAATAAGGATCCTTCTATTTAGGGTACTATATTAGGCTCCCTTATTTTCGGAAACTTCCAAGTAACACCGAAACCAGGTGGGCACAAGCAGCGCAAAGTACCAGACAAGCTGGCGGTACAACGTGGCAGGGAGCGACCACATGTACTTGTCTTAGCTTGTCATCAGGAACAAGCACTTGGCCAGGCAGCATGCATGTCCCTGGTATAGGCACGGTAAGACTCCCCCGACTTTTGCTGTATTGGTGTTCAAGAGGGCTGCTCAGGGTTCAGGGTTTCCGGTTCTCCGTTGAGGATTCTGCAAGGGTTTGGGGTTTAGGGATCTACAATGGCTTTAGGCTTTAGGCTTAATTACTTGGAGGGTCGGGGGACTTAGTCTGTTATTTTGGGGACTTATAAGTACCATAACCCCAATTGGGGTCCCTTTTAGGGTGCTTATAAGTCTACCTACTACCTACTTACCAAGTCGCCCGACCCTCCAAGTAGGGTCTAGGCTTGAGAAATCATGGTTCTACAAAGGACTCGAGGCTAAGAGGTTCTATCAGGGCAAGGGCCTTATATAGGAGTTCTGGCGTCTGCAACGGTAGAAAAGACGCCGCTACTGATCACTGAAGCCCCACATTTTTCTTATGGCCTGCACAGAGCCTCGAATAAGCAAGTGTAGGTTGGGGATTGTAAGGTTTCAGTTTGGGGCTGAGGGTCCAGGGTCTAGAGTTTAGGGTCCAGGGCTTCAGGCTTATGGCTGAGGGGCATCGCGGGACTTTTAGGATTTGGAATCTCCACGTTACTCTTGCGAGATGCGTCTTGCCGGTGAGGGTGCTGGTTCAAGCTATCTTCCAACCCCTCAACAATGCGAAACCCAGATCCCAAATTTGGAGCTTCTCCGATTGTCTGGTTCTTAGATTGTTGGGGAGTATATAGGGACTACTACAGGGATTCATTCCCCCATTTGGAGCACACCCGATGCCCCAACCCTCGACAAATGTTGTCATCTCGACCTCCTGACATCGAAGCACGTCCATTCCCAACATTCTACAACCCTAGATAACATCCGTACATCCTCCAACCCTCAATCCCCAAATCCACCCGCTAACCCATAAACCCTAAACAGTGAACGCCTCAAAATCCCCCCCTCCTCCCCAGTCCGCCTGTCATGGAGAGGAAATCCTCTGTGAAAAGCAGAGTGAACCAGAAAGCCACGCTGCCGCCAAGCATGCACCACCTCAGAAGGTTCTAGAGGGGTTTGTTATGGCGTTATCAGGGCCCTAAACCCTAAACCCTTTATGTTGAGGGCTTCAGGGTGTTTTAGGGTTTGGGGTTCAGATTTGTGCTTTTGGTGGTTTTCTGGGTTTACCACACCGAGTTGTTCGGAGGACGTTGGTAGGTACAGGTGAGAAGTAAGACATCTGTAGTTTAAACATACTACTTAGATCCCACCCTGCAAGTCCTCAAAGCACCCCTAAACCCTAAATCCTAAACTCCTCAAAAGCCCAGATGTAGAAACGCCTATAGCCCGCGTGCAAGAACCCTTCAAGCAGTTTGGATACAGAGATCCCAAGAGCTAAGGGTTCCTTTAAAGGGATCTTTAAGGGTCCCTTTAAAGGGATCGTCTATAAGGGTTCCTTTAAAGGGATCTTTGAGGGATTTCGGTAAAAACCTCTGAAGGGCTTCTTTAGCTATGGAATACTCCATAAGGGTTTAGGGCGTAGGGTTTAGGGCATGTTTAGGGTTCAGAGAAGTATATAACTTTCAAGAATACTGGCAGGTATGACGCGGTCCTATATGGGTGGTTGTCAAAGCTATGGTCCCTTTTGGGGTCCCTATTATACTACGGCACCCATTAATTAAGGTACCCAAAAAGGGACCCCAATTTTGACAACCACCCATATGTCACTTGATGGGGAGGTCACTTGGGGTTCCTGGGGCTGAGATTTTGGGCGTCGGTGCTCACAGAGCCTGGGGTATGGTCCTAGGTCCTGAGGTCTTGACATCCGCACATACACAAGTGAATGGGCTTCGTCTGGTGTGACCGCTACAAAGATTGGTGTTCCGTAGCGGACGCGCATGGCTTGGATTTCAAAACACATGATTCGCCGTGCTTCTTGGGTTCCGGGGACTTTTCTGGCCGTATGACTCAAGTTCGCCAGGATTCGCTGTGCGGTCGCCGACAGGTGTGGCACGTACCGCACGGAGTTCAGGTTGCCTTTCACGGGTAAAGAACGGCCATCTGGTGTGCGACAAGTTCCATTCAGAGCTTTGATGACCTGGATCTCCGCCGCGACCGCGATCTGGATCTCTTCAGCATCCCGTGTTGGTGGTTCGCCTCACCTGCGGTGTGAAAAGGTGCAGGGGTTGGTCCCCTACTTCCACCGGCCAAGTGGGTAGCCGTAACTGAGGGCCCTCCGTCTTGGGCCCCCGTTGCTCGGAGGGCTCACTGTCTGGGAGAGTCAAGCTCCCCTCTGCGTCGGCAGGCTTGCTCTTTGCACTTTCAATGCCCCAAAAACTACAGGCTGCCTATGGAATCAACGGATTTCGTTAGAGGAAACCTTACTTCGCTGTAGGCACAGCTACCCTAAACCCTAACTCGCTTATATACTTTTAGTTCCACATAATCCACATACCAGAGCAGAGGATCCTTTCGCTAGGTTGCCTACTTAGAGGATCATGGGACTTAGTAAGTAGGTAGTTACAACTGGGGTTATAAGTCCCCTAAGTGGGGTTATCCTAATAACCTAATTATAACCTTACTTACTAAGTCCCATGAGCCTTTAAGTAAACCTTATGACACTATCACCTTTGATCCTCGACCTGAAGCAAATGGGACTTCTACCAGGACTCAGCCAGCCAGCACAGATAATATAGGGGCCTGCATAGTTTGAATAGGGCTCCTTTAAAGGGTTCTTATACGGGTTACTTGCTGTAAGGGCTTAACATACGTAAGTGAGTAAATGTGTCGTAAAGGGTCTTAGGCAACATTGGTAGTCGCGTGATATGTAGGCACGACGAAAAGACTGTAAAGGTATTTACTACTTGCCATCAGCCCCCAACCCAGGAAGCCCTCTAAACCCCTCAAAGCCCTAGGCTCTAGTCCCTACTTGGCGGTTCATGCGTAGTTATAAGTGGGGTTATAGGTCCCTCAATGTGAGTGAGAACTATAGTTGCCCTACTTGAAAACGCACTTATCGCACGTATAACTAACCATGCACACCTGAAGCCTGAACATCAAACGCTACACCAACCCGATGCCATGTCGGGCTTATGCAAGTGTCGAGATCAAAGCCCTACAATACCACGCTAAAGCTTCTGCTTCAAAGTGGATCTAATGCAGGAACCTGATTGAAGCCGGCCACCGACCTTGAGCACATTAAAAGCTGCCTTGAAATCCAAGTAGCCTCCAAAAACACGTCTAGAACCCTCACAAACCCTTATGCAAGCCGTTGCAAACCCGATTCCTGAGGCCCGTGTCGAACGCGCTTCTGCAAGAAACAAACAAACACAATAAGCTGACAAGCGACATGCTGATAGAGATGTCGGTGCCTTCTACCTCGTGGTGGTACAAGGGAAGCACGCCTGCACCGGTGTAGGATGCACGGTTTAGGGCTTAGGGTTTGGAGTGTAAGGTCCAGACACTCTCTTCTTTAAAAACCGAGCCGCAGAATGTTCAATCTTGCTCAGATAGACCCAAGACCCATGAACAAAATCTTACTCGAAGTTCTCCCATTGGCAAAGACTGGGGTTCGGGGTTAAGGGTCTATGTGGGCAACTGTCAAATCATGATCTCTTTGGGGAACACTACATTACATGGTTCTATACTCTTAGTACGGCACCCTCTAGCTTGGGAACCCAAAGGTGCCCTGGTTTTGCCAACCACCCATGCATTTCAGAACCCTAAACCCTTAAACCCTAAACCCATGTGAGTAGTTCTCCGAATTAGGATCATTTTCAAAACTTTCTAGTACGGCACCCTTGTACAAAGGACCCTGAAAGGGATCCTAATCTAGAGAACTACCCATGATGTAGGAGACCCTGAACCCTCAACCCTGAACCCTGGACCCTAAACCCTAAATCCTAAACCCCTGAACCCTAAACCCCAAACCCCAAACCCGTTTAGAAGGCTCATGGAGGCTTCTAGTACTTAAAGGCTCATGGGACTCAGTAAGTGAGGTTATAAGTAGGTTATAATTAGGATAACCCCACTTAGGGGACTTATAACCCCAATTATAACCTACTTACTAAGTCCCCCGACCCTCCAAGTAGACCCTAAACCCTAAACCCCGTAGATCCCTTTAAGGAACCCTATAGATCCCTTTAAGGAGCCCTTACTAAGTCCCATGATCCTGTAAGTAGGGGGCTCCAGGTCTTCGGCTTAATGTTAGGTTCAGGGTTTAGGGTTTGGGGTTTAGGGCTTGGGGCTTGGGTTTGGGGTTTGGGGTTTGGGGTTTAGGGTTGAGGGTTTAGGGTTTCGGGTTTAGGGTTGAGGGTTTAGGGTTTAGGGTTCAGGGTTTAGGGTTCAGGGCTTAGGGTTTGGGGTTTGGTGGCTTGAGGCCAGCGGTGCCCTGGCAGCGGGGATCACCGCCGCTTCCTATAGGGGCCTGAATAGTAAGAATAGGGTTTTGGGGGCCGCGTATACTACAATTATAATAGGGAACCCCTAAAATAGTATAGGTAGTTCTTAAGGCCCCTATCGTAAGTGTGCATTTTGTCGTGCTCTTGGGCCGCGTTCTGCTCCTTCCAGGAAGCCTGGAACTTGCCCAACGTCCCAGGACGATGGAGCGCTTGGGGTTGTTGGGGGGGGCTTATTAGGGTTTAGGGTTTAAAGGGCTCCTTGAAAGGGATCTATCAGGGTTCCATAAGAGGGGTTTCAGGGTCACTTAGAGGATCATGGGACTTGGCAACTAGGGTTCTAAGTAAGGGTAAGTGTATTCATACTTACTTATGACCCCACTTAGGGTACTTATAACCATACTTACGAAGTCCCATGATCCTCCAAGTTGTGCATGTACAAGCTCAGGTAGGTCAGCTCCTGTTTCGACAACCCGTCAAGCCAGCCTTCCATGCCCTGGTTTGACCAATCCAAGACGCGGCAAAATGGCTGGGGGCTCAGGCAACACCACCTCGTCCCAAGGCAAAGCCGAGTGAAAAAATCTAATGATACGTCGCCGATGCTCCAACCCATCCGTGTTCGCCAACTGGTGTGTGCCGTTTCAGCAAAGCACAACCGCTGAACTCCCCCGCAGGGCTTGTGCTTTCCTGCAAACATGCACTGGCAGACACGTCGACGTGATCCTGTATGGCGCGGTCAAAGCCCCCAAACCCTAAACACTTAAACCCTTATAAACCCCCAAACCCTATAGAAACCATTAAACTCAACACTTAAGCCCCTATAAACCCCCAAAACCCTTTTTAAACAAACCCTGAAACTCCTTAGAAACTGAAGTTTCTGCTCCAGCTCCTGGAGCTTACTTAGAGGATCATGGGACTTAGTAACTAGGGTTATAATTAAGGTAACTATACTTATAACTACTTATAACCCCACTTAAGGTACTTATAACCATACTTCCTAAGTCCCATGATCCTCCAAGTAATGCTTGGAGCTCCTAGGCCGGGAGACCTTGAGTTCTTCAGGCAGCTTAACTGGGTCCTTGTTACGGTCTAGGCTAGTTTGGGGTTTAGGTTTAGGGTTTGAGGTTCAGGGTTTAGGGTTTAGGGTTTAGGGGTTTAGGGTTTATAAGGTTTAGGGTTTAGGGTTTAGGGCTTAGGGGTTGAGGGTTTAGGTCCTTGTTACTGGGCTTTGAAGTAACCAGGGAGAAAAAAGTATAGACTTTAATTTCATGGTTGGTTCCCTTTAAGTAACAGGTCCCAAAACAGTATTAAAGTATGGTACTCCAAAGCCCAGGTTAAGGTCTAGGGCATAGGATTTAAGTTTAGGGCTTAGGGGTTGAGGGTTTAGGGCTTGGGGGGTTGAAGGTTTATGGTTTAGGGATTTGAAGTTACTGTAACATATGACCTTCTTACTTACTACATATCACCGTTCGTTATGGTAACTGAAATCCTCGTAACTAGAAAACAAGCAAGGTTTAGTATTCCGGGCTTCGCCAACCCTGAACCGAAAAGCCCAACAACCTAAAAACCCTAAACACTAGACCTTAAAGCACTCAGGCGCCTATGGCCACCAGACCAAAGCAAATGAGCTGGACAGCGAAACTCACCTGAGAGTGCTCAGTGGAGACGGGTCAGCGGGTCTGTGCGTTTGAGGGCTTAGGGTTTACCTGACCATGAAACGTAGATCGCTTTCTGGTCGCCTCATTGTCATAGTACCCAGACCTTCCAAAATCCCTTAATTCAGGAATATCCCTTAAATTATAGTAGGATCCTTAATATGATTTAAGATGTATTCCTTGATTAAGGGAACCTTACCTTTGGTTAGTGGGTTAGCATAGGGTTCCTTTAAATGGATCTATAAGGGTTAGTAGGGAAATAAGAGGTCTGGGTATACAGACCCTTGCATCTGGAAAGTCAGTTCGATGTTCCAGGGGCTAGGGAGTGCTCAACCCTACGGTTGAGGGGTTTTGGGCTCAGGGTTTCCCTAAACCCTAAACCCTATAAACCCTAAACCCTAAACCTTAAGCCCTAAACCCTAAACCCTAAACCCTAAAAACCCTAAACCCTAACCCCTAAACCCTAAACCTTACAAACCCTAAACCCTAAAAACCCTAAACATTAAGTCCTAAACCCTAAACCCTACACCCGGAACGCTCCTGAACCCGTGATCCTCCTAAGCCCTGGCGTCCCAGCCGTGGGGTTTCGAAGCATCGCGGGTTCAGGGTTCAGGGGTTTAGGGTTTCGGGGTATAGGGGTTTAGGGGTTTAGCGGCTTGGGGGTTTAGGAGCTTGGGGGTTTAGGGGCTTGGGGGTCTAGGGGTTTAGGGGTTTAGGGTTTCGGGTTTAGGGTTTTTTCTGTTTAGGGTTTAGGGCTCTTCGAGTGGAGTTTAGACTTGCGCGGTTGAGGGCTTCGCTGTTAGGTTTACGGCTTTGAGTTTAGGTGTACAGGGTAGTCATTTCAGTACTTTGCGGATGCTTCGTTCGACGTACCAGTGAATCTGCAAAGACACACGCTAATCAACTAGTTAATGATGCTTGCAAAGGGCTCAGACCCTTGCAATCGAAGTGTCTTGCCAATCCGCCGTAATATCACATCCCGGACTTGACATCACCTAGAAGTTTCAAGACGGTTCGACCAGCGTGCCAGCCTCCAAAGCAGCCTAGACCCTCAAGAAAAACAACAAGAGCAATAGTCACCACAAAGACATCAAGCGGCCGAGAGACAAGCACTCTCAACACGCAAACTGCCTATACGATCGGACGAACTTTCCGAAACAAGGAACGCTAATGCAGACCATGAAGAAGAAGATCTTGAGCAAACCCAGCCCACCGAATAGGTACCCGTGGCTTTTTGACGCCCAGAAGTCCCTAGCTGCCGAGTTCCCTAGGCCCATGTTTGGGTTTTGGGATTTAGGGTTCAGGGTTTAGGGTTGAGGGGTTTAGGGTATAGGGTAGGATTCTTCTTCTGGTTTAGGGTCTACTTAGAAGGTCATGGGACTTAGTAACTAGGGTTACAATTAGGGTCACTATACTTATTATAGTTGCTTCTAACCCCACTTAAGGCACTTATAACCATACTTGCTAAGTCCCATGGTCCTCCAAGTAGACCCTAAACCCGAAACCCTACAGATAAGGAACCCTGTAGATCCCATTAAGGAACCCCTATAGATCCCTTTAAGGAACCCTATAAATTGCAATTCGCTGGTCCCATGGACCTCCAAGTTGGAACCATTGAACCTCTTCGGGCCTTAAGCAAGCGCCCCAGAGCATTCTGTAAAAGGGTTTAGGGTTTAGGGTTTAGGGTTTAGGGCATTCTGTAAACCGCAAGCACTCTCCTGGACCCTAGAGAACCGAGATTTTGAGGGCTCCCTATCTTAGAAAAGGTAGGTTATGTGAGGTTCAGGTAGGGTTTAGGATCTAGGTTGGCCCCTCAAAGCCTCTGAAAAATATTCGTAAACAAGATCCTCTATACCCCAATAAGGGAAAATGTAAAATGTCCCAGGGGCCTACCTAGGGATTAAGGACCGCGCCTCAAGTCACAAGTAGAACTCCGATATATTTTAAGCGCGGCTACATTGGAGTTTCCGAAGATTAGGGGTACCTTATTTTGGGGTCCTTATAATAAGGATCCTATTATTTAGGGTGCCATATTAGGGTCCCCTATTTTCGGAAACTCCCATATCTCTTCACAGAGGGCTGCCGGGCTCTGTGGGTAAATCTCGGCCGAAGCCACAAGAAGAGCACGAACTCCATGAAAAGCCATCGCCTCAGAACGAGAACTCAAGGGGTTCAGGGCTTTAGAGTTGGGTGCAAGGTTTGGGGGTTTAGGGTTTCGGGGTTTAGGGCTTAGGGGTTTAGGGGTTTAGGGGTTTCGGGGTCTAGGGCCTCACCGGGCTTGAGTTAGCCAAGGAGAAATGAGTATAAACGTGTATTTCTGAATGGTTCCTTGACAGAGGATCATGGGACTTAGTAACTAGGGTTATTAACAAGGTAACTATACTTATAACTACCTATATCCCCACTTACGGTACTTATAACCTGGCTTACTAAGTCCCATGATCCTCCAAGTACTCCAGAACCCAGCTAAGGCCTGACCACAAGCTCTACGGCATGATCTTCTCATGCTTTAGGGTCACGAAACCACGCTGGCTTAGGGTTTAGAATTTTTTTTGAGCTCCTTTTTCCGCCAAGCCCACAATCCGACTCAACAGAAGGCCTTAGAGTTTAGGGTATAGGGCTGAGGGACGTCGATTTTGCGAGGGGGGCTGGTTGGAGCCATCGGGTCAGGGTTTCATGAGGAACGGGGCTGTCGGTGTGTTTGGCAAGGTCTCAGCAGGGTCTCAAGCTTAAGAGTTTGGGGCTTAAGGTTTAGAGGACCAATTGTTTAGGGTTTTAACGGTTCAGAAGACCAAGCGTTCAGGGTCTCTGGGTTTAGGGTTTAGGGGTTTAGGGTTTGGGGTTCTGGGTTTCTGGCTTCGGATACAAGTTCTTTGGGCAGGTCTCCTGAGCACGTGCAGGTAGAGCTACGTACTGTTACAGACCGAGATAGCTAGCCACTTTTTAAGTGCTTTTCAAGGTGCACGGCTTGGTTTATGGTGTAGGGTCGGGGCTGTATCAGTGTGGAAACTGTGCAGAAGCCACCCCTTCGCAGGACCACAAGCGCCTAAGCCAGAGGGCTGAAATGGTTAGTAATGATCTTGGTTCTTGCTTTCGAAAATGTTTTAAGCTGTTTGCAATTATGAAGAAGACTAGAATAAATCATAAGGTTTCCCTATTATGGTAACTTAAACTAAACCCCTCAACAAGAAGCCAGTGATGGTCCCCGTACGTTCTTGCATACTATCAGGCTATGATATACCCCAATACCCTAGCGCAAAATCATAAACTCCTATATGGAACCCTGATCAGAAGCCCCGAACCCTATTCAACCAGTTAAGGCCCCCAGCATCAAACCGATGAGCCCTAATAGCCTGAAATCAGACACTCCTAGGGTGGGATGAACAAAGGGGAAAAGGAGGGACCCTTAACGGGGACCCTTACCCTATAATGGGCTATATAATGGGTATATCATAGCTATATTAAGGGTATACCTGTGACCCCAAACCCTACAAAATAGAGGTTATGACCCCTTAATTAGAGGGTCTAACCCCTCAAACGGTAGGTTTTTGGATCCACAGGTATACCTAGGGGTCCTTATTAAGGGTCCCTCCCTTTACCCTTGGAGACGAAGGGTAGTTGGGGTAATCCCAAAGTAAAGGTCCTCATGTAAGGGATCCTTAATCCTACCTACCTTCATCCCCCCTTTTGAGGCCTCCTATACCCTAAACCCTAAACCCTATAGATCCCTATAAGGGTAGAGCCTAAACCCTAAACCCTATAGATCCATGTAAGGAACCCTATAGATCCCTATAAGGACCCCTTAAAGCCTCCTATACAACCCCCAGCGTGGCCAGGCAACCAGCGCCAAGAATTTCCTCCAGCGCCGCTCTTTCCAACCTGGGTCTGCAGGATGGCTACTTAAAGGCTCATGGGACTTAGTAAGTAAGGTTATAAGTAGGTTATAATTAGGATAACCCCACTTAGGGGACTTATAACCCCAGTTATAACCTACTTACTAAGTCCCATGATCCTCTAAGTAGTAATCGTGTATTCTAGCTTGAAAGTCTCGGGTTTAGGGATTAAGGATTAGGGTTTAGGGGTTTAGGGTTCTCGTGTGCTTCAAAACACTTCCTACAGTACTTGGTTCAAAAGAGTTTCGCAAGGCGCCAGAAGGAGTTTTACAAGAGAAGCCGGAGCTGAAAGACTTCTATATCAACGTAACATATCTTCTATCGACACTACTCATAAATCTCTTCTCGCAAACCCATCTGAACTCGTTGCGAAGCCTGTGAACAAAAACTGGAACATGCCAGAAACCCTACCTGACCAGTGCTCGATGAACCCTGTCAAGGCGCTAAGATACCCTGCGGATTTATGGGGCTTATCGGCATATATTGTCTGATGGAATTCAATGCGGACACGTAAAGCACCCTCTCTAGGCCCTATGTGCCTAAACCAAGATCTACCCTAAAATCCTACTCTAGTCAGCATGGTTCCGCAAACACGCCACAATCCTCAAAAACCCTTCTTGTAGAACCGTTGTAAAGCCCATATCGAGCTTTGAACGCAACCCTTCGTTCCAATTATCAGGCCTTCCTGAGGGGTATCTTCTGGCCACTAAACCTGAAACCTTAAACCATAAACCCCAAAGCCTGCACCCTAACCCTAAATCCTAAACTTCCTAAACCCTAAACCAAAAGCCCTTATAGAATCCTTCTAAGAGCCCCACATATTCCCAGTTCTAACCCCCTTAACCCCAAACCCTAGACCCAGAATGCAGGAATTAGGATTGTAGGAAGTCCCTTGTAACCAGGCAGGGCGCTGTGGGTGATGAAGTAGTCCAAACTCTCCTTGCACCAAGGGGATACCACAGCGTTCTGGGTTTGGGGTAGTAGACGGGCCTTAATAATTCGAACAGGGTTTTGGTGCATATTCTACTGTATATAATTACAAGAAGGAACCCCCAAAGCAGCATGGGTAATTATTAAGGCCCCTATATTAAGGCTTTTCAAACGGCTTAGGGTTTACATAGGGTCTACAGTTTTTCCAGGTTTGGTGGAGAGGGTCTGTTCAAGCATTTCACCGGGTTTCGTCCGGTGCCTTAGGGTGTTACCCTAAACCCTAAATCCTGTATCAAACTACTAGAGGGTTTCATCTAGAGGCCGAAATAGACATATTTAAAAGGAAGTGGAATAGCTCCACTCCTCACTCCTTCGTTGCCGGGTGGCAACAAGAGAACGGGTACCCTTTTCCTACTATTTAATTTGGTACGAATCAGTGAACCCAAAAGGACAAAAGGGCAGAATGGTACTACTGGGGAACCTAGTAGACCGTGACCCCATGTAGATTGTAGATCCCTTATAGAATTTTCGAAGGAGCCCTTTAAGGAAGCCTTTCACGATACTACGGAGCAACCCACAGATCATCTTAAGCCCTTAACATTCGAAAACACATGCCAAACGTGTTGCATTTTGACGATGTTCGAGGTATATCAAAGCCGCCCGCAACATCCTCAAAAGACTAAACCTTGTCAAATCCCAAACAAACCTGGTAATGCAGGGGCCTTAATAATTTAGACCCCCAACATGGATAGGTAAATATTAATGCCCCTATAGTGCTGCTGTGATCGTTCAGAACTTGAGACCAGACCCCTCTCGGCCCTAAACCCGATAAACCCCAAACTCCAATAGACACCTCCCCTGTAGAACCTTAAAGCAGCACTTTCGAAGAACCCTAGGGCCCTAGAGTACACCCATGGACACCTCAAGCCCGAAGCAGACGCCCCTGCCTTGGACATCACGTGAGATGCACTAAGATGGGCCCCCGGATCCTTCGCTGAGTCCTGCGAGTTGGGGCTGTGAGGGGCTTTCGAGGGCTTGGGGTTTGTCAAGCTCCGAAGGGGTTGCCCTTTGCGTTTTAGCTTTACTTGCCATGTCGCTAAGACTGTTCAAGGACCCAAGCAGCAGGGTTTTCTTGGGTTCCAATTGTCCATTCAAAGTGAAGCTTTTGGGACTAGGAGTCCTACTACGTCGCTTATTTAGCCGCTACCGGACTGTCACCCTAAACCCCAGATCCTAAGCCTAAATTGAAAGGTAAGGGGAAGCCTCTTCGCCCCTCGATCTTAAAAGCTTGGGAATGTTGGTGAGTGCACACATGTTGGGTGCTTTCTTGTGAGGCTCATGGTGAAAGGTTTAGTTTTCAGGGGATCATGGTAGTACAACAACCCTAGCTCCTATCTGACGACCCAATAAAAACCTTGCGTTGTTGGGTATATGTGGAGTCGAACATGCTAAGGTCATCCATAGGGTTCAGGGTTCAGAGTCTTGGCAGTTTAGACAGTAGGACCCAGGCCAGGCTTGAATGCAAGAAAACGTACGTTTGATTCAAGCAGCACCCATATCCACCCCTGCATGCCCCGAAAAATCCTTCTTGAACGCTTGCAGACACGTCCGAGGCGCAGACACGTCCGAGGGTTGCAGGATATAAAGCTTGAAGCGTTTGGGGTTGGGTACACAAACCTCGCAACCCCTCCCAGACCATTCCGGAAGCCTTCTCCACCAAACCGTAGCGTGCCAAAACAGCCTCCAGACCCCAAATTCCTACCCTTGAGCCACACAACCTGAACCCAATATATTTCATACCCTAGCCCAACAGAGCCTGAAGGACTAAAGCACTAAACCCCAACAGACCCCTTGCAGATTCATTGCAGATCCCTTGTAGATCCCTTGTAGGTCCTTGAAAGAATCCTTTGAGGGAGACCTACTTGGAGGATCTTGGGACTTGGTAAGTAAGGTTGCAAGTTACAAGTACCTTATTAAGTGGGGTTATGAGATGTTATAAGTACAGTTACCTTGATTCTAACCCTAGATACTGAGTCCCAGAACACCCTAAACCCAAAACCCTTCTAAACCCTAAACCCTATAAACTCTCCCTATATACCCTAAGCCCTGTAAACCCTAAACCCCCAAATCCCCTCTAAAACCCTAAATCCCTAAAACCCCTAAACTCCACCCAGGGTCCAGGAGACTGCCAAAGCGTCGAAGCAGCTTCGTCAAGCTCACGCCGCGCATCTCGACGTCAGACTCAGCCAGCTTCATGGTTCGGGTTCAGGGCTCCTTAAAGGGCTCCTTTACAGAGTTCCTTAAAGGGCTCCTTGAAGGGATCTTTGGGGTTTAGGGCGTAGGGTTTAGGGTTCAGGGTCAGGGTTCAGGGCTTGTTTAGGGTTTAGGGTTTAGGGTGGGGTTTGTTTAGGGTTTAGGGTTTTAGGGTTTAGGGTTTAGGGGTTTAAGGTTTAGGGTTGGGGCTTTTAGGGTTTAAGGGTTAGGGTTTAGGGTTGGGGTTTAGGGCTTTCGGGCTCCTTTAAAGGGATCTGTGAGGCTTTCATAGGGTTTCTAAAAGGGAACTATAAGGTTTAGAGGTTTAGGGATTTACTTTTGGTTTAGGGTCCAGGGGTTAGGGATGTCTTTTAGCTGTTTGTGTTGGGTTTGGGGTTTTGGGATTTCTTTTTTTGTTTTTTTGGTTTAGGGTTTGGGGTTTCAGGATTTGGATTAATGCTCAGGGTTTCGAGTTTAGGTACAAAACGACACATGTTACCTAACTACGACGAAGTCAGAACTGTGGACTTTAGAACTCAAGGTTTACCTTAAACTACCAAACCCTGTTTTTTGTGGGTTCTTACTATAAACCCTAATATGGAAGTTATAGGGACCCTACAAACAGTGGGTTTTGGTAGGTTAAGGTAGGATGTAGGACCTGGGATTTAGGGGTACGGATTGAGAGCCGGGGGTCTGCAGTTTAAGGGTTTAGGGTTCAGGGGTCTACAGTTCAGGGTACGGCTTGGGGTGGGAAAGAAAGACGGGAAAGTCTTCTATAGACAGGCTTTCCTAGCGCATCGCCATGTTACGATGCACTCGACACAACCTTGTCGCAAGATAGCATCGCCTACGCACCGTTCCATGCCAAACCTTAAAGTAAACCCCAAGCCCTGCACCAAGATCCCTAAACCTTTTGTTCCTCAATCCCTAAGCTTTACATATCAAAGCTTCGAACTCCTGGAACCAGAAGGTTCCTAAATCCATAAACTCATAAGCTTCGAAATCCCTAAACCCGAAATGTCCGAAATCCCCAAACACTATGGTTTCTGAACCCTCCGCAGCTGCAGCTTCCAAAGGCAGAACTGCATCGCGGCCTGTGTGTCCGGCCCAGCATCGCTTGTGTTTAGGGTTTAGGGTTTAGGGGTTTAGGGCACAGTAGTGGGAGTGAACGCAAGTGGATGGACTCCTGAGCAACTGTGGCCTGGAGCTGCATAAGTCCTTGCAGACTGAGCTGCCGCAGCTCCTCACCCCAGATCTCTGCCACGGGCGTCATTGGCATCTCAGCCTCGGTAGTTCCGGCCCGCAACCTAAGGAACATCTCCTCTGGAGTGCCCGCCATGACGTTCGACGTCTCTGAGATGCAAACCTACGCTGAGGCTGAAAAAACGGGTTTCGGGGCTTAGGGTTTTAGGGTTTAGGGGCTTAGGGTTTAAGGGCTCAGGGTGTAGGGGTTTAGGGTTTAGGGGTTTAAGGGTTTAGGGGTTTAGGGGTTTAGTGGTTTAGGGATTTAGGGGTTGAGGGGTTTAGGGTTCGGCGTGAAGGGTGTAGGGTGCAGCTCGTCAGAGGTTCACCTAGACCTGCATGTAGCTCTGTTTGCTGGTGAGTTTGCTTCCTCGTCCATGGATCCCCGCCAGAATAAGACTCTACAGTTTAACCATATGGGGGTTTCCGAAAATGGGGGACCCTAAGATAATACCCTAAATAATAGGATCCTTATTATATGGACCCCCAAATAAGGTACCCCCCAATTTTCGGAAACCCCCATATGCTTAACCCCAAAACGAGCATAGGTATGAAGTATTAGCCTGGGCTTTGACAAGTATCATATATCATATAATGGGTCTGTCACGGGATATTGATATATACTAGTTCTTCAAACCACTACTGAGCCCTAAACCCAAAGCCCTAAACCCTAAACCCTAAACCCCTAAACCCTAAACCCTAAACCCCTAAACCCCTAAACCCTAAACCCTAAACCCCTAAACCCAAAGCCCGTAAGCAGTTTCGGATCTAGACTGCTCGGATTGCTGGTGTTTCCATGTCGTGCAGTCGTCAACTGCTGTCGTTGTTATTTTAGGGTTTAGGGTTTAGGGTTTAGGGAACCATGGGGTCCATATACACTAAAAGTATGGAATTGGCGGAATTGGGAACCGAAAGACCATCCCTATCATGGTTTCGGGGACCTAATTCCAAAACGGTAGTGTATGTGGACCCTCTGGGGGTTAAAACCCTTCGGTGCCTACATTATAAAACCCTACTCTAAATCCCTTACAGCGCCCTTTAAGAAGCCCTTTAAAGGAACCCTATTCCAATTAATTAAGGCCCCTAGATCAAAACCCCAAACCCTAAACCCCTAAAAACCTAAACCCCTAAATCCTAGACCCCTGAAGCCCTAAACCTCCCTAACCCTCAATTTCGCGGAGTGGTGGAGTCACTGGTCACTGCTTGCCAGGGAGCGGAGAACTTCGTGCTACGGAGGCCGACCAAGGAGCTTGACATCTGACGCGCGAAGTTGGGGTTCAGGGGGTTTAGGAGTTTGGGGTTTAGGGTTTTAAGGTTTGGGGGCGAGGGGTTTAGAGTTTAGGGGGTTTAGGGGTTCGGGGTTATGGGTTCTAGGGTTTAGGGGTTTAGGATTTAGGGCTTTAGGGGCTTCGGGGGTTTAGGGGGTTCGGGGTTTAGGGTTTTAGGGTTTTAGGGTTTAGGGGTTTAGGGTTTAGGGTTTGGGGGTTAGGGATTTAGGTTTAGTGTCTAAGCTGTATGGCTGTTTAAGTTTCAAGGAGTTTGCTGATGGCGGGTGGTATTTCTGGGTTCAAGGGTTGAAGACTTTGTCATCCTGCCTGGGCTTTTAGGGTTTGTGTGTGGACACCCTAAACGGGCTTTTAGGGTTTGTGTGTGGACACCCTAAACGCTAAACCGCTGTTTGGAGTCAAAAGCATACTTGAAGGTTCATGGGCTCAGGGTTTACCTCAAACTACCAAAAACCTGTTTTTTGGTAGGGTCCCTACAAATCCCTGTTGAACCCACGAACGTAGGACAAAGGCAGGTTGTGCGGTTTAGCGTCTTGCGCCGCATACCACACCTTGTGACTGCTGGGTCATGTGCGTATAGAACAAGCCAAAATCACCCAACTACCTCATCGAGAGCAGACCACCACTCCTGGCAGAATCACAGTCCACCACGCATTCCGGCACTGCCGGGCAGCCCAGCATCCCACCTCTCCGAGCTCCTTCAGCTCCTGCTGGCACAGATTGCACCAAAGTCGCACAACCAAACCTGTTGTACGGATTCTCTTCGCGTTCTCGTCCTTCCACCACAATGTTCCTGCACGGAAAATACTTCCTGATCTTCTCAGCGGGCTGAAGAACCACGAGGGCCGTCTCGTACATGACATAGGTAAGACCATTAGCTTTACAGGGGCATTGGGCCGGGAGTATACAGCCGTCAATAACCACTGTAGAGCCCTCATAAAAAAATGCGAAAGCCCTGTACAGCCTGTAAACACTCTTAGATAAAATGCCCAAGGAGGCGGGGTCTATGTCACTATGGAAAGCCAGCCTGTCTCTGCCCCAACAAAACTGCGTTGTGATGTAGGCGCCTCAACAAATCCCAATACTGTTTGAACTCTGCTACCACACAGCAGAGCCGAATTCATCAACTCCAGTTCGAAACGCTGCACGTTAGGATTTATTGTTAAGGGTCCAGGGTAAGGGTTTAGGGTTTAGGACGACATCGGGAAGGTCGTCTTGATGAAGTCTTAACGGTGGTCTGTGTTCTGTGCGCATGACTGCAATCACCTGCTCTAAACCCCAAACTCTAAACCCTAAATAACCTGTTGCTTCAAGCACTCGTTCAATTTCCTGCTCGCTGCCGCCGCGAGCCAACGCGTGCAGAATAAAACTTACACTGACTGCAGGTCACGATTGCTTTAAGGTTCGTTGAGGGTTTAGGGCTTAGTGTTCGAGGTCAGGGTTTGGGGCTTGGAGTTGCAAATTGAGGGTCGCATAAGTGTTCAGGGTCTTTGGGTGCATCTTCTGCAACAGTCGTGTAGAGACAATGGGGATGGGATGTCATTACTGCGTATTGTATCGCGCCCATTCAGAACCCTATAACAGGTTTTCAATTCGGGCCCCACTGCAAACCCAAGACTGCTAAAGCTTGCCTTCTCTGGTATCACCAAACCCAGACCTGAAACCGTAGACTTGGCAACGTTAAAAGCTAAGTCTTTGTGTAACGCCTGTGCCCCACAATAATTTCGGCATAGGTTTTGGCTTTGTTCAGGGTTGAAGGTCTAAAGTTGGCCTTGGGATTTGTGGTTTCGGATTTCAATATGTACGAAAGTGTATCGATGTAGGCTGTCAAGCTTTAAGAGACTGGGTGTGGGGCTTTAAACCCTAGACCCTAAACCTAGGATACCCAGTAACCTAAGAATAAAAAGGCCTCTCTTTTTGGTATTGGGTAACTTTATAAGGAACCTAGGACTACAAAAAGGGAATAAGGGTACTACTGGGCATCCTAGAAAGCGGCTTTGGGGCTTTGGGTTTCTGCCTGGCTTCCCTGACTTCGTGTGGCAGTGGAGGGCCGCTTGCGAGAGCTTTCACTACCTCGGCGCATACGGTTTAGGGTTCAAGGTTTAGGGTTTAGGGTGGGTAGTTGTCAAAATTATGGTCCCTTTTCGGGTACCCTAAATATTAGGTGCCGTACTATATTAAGGACCCAACAAGGGACCATAATCTCGACAACCACCCACATGAGAGACTCGCTTCAGCAATGCAAGGGCGAGCATTGTACCACTCTTGTAGGGGTCATAAGCCTATACAAGGACGTACTATGACTAGGTCGAACTATTTCAGACATGTCAAACAACCCTAAACGCCATAAACTCTAAACTTTAAACCTAAACCCTAAACCCTGAACCCTAAACCGTAATATCCTTTAGCCCAAAACTCCAAACTCTGAGGAGCACCAAACTCCCCCAGCCCTCAGCCCTCAGGGAAGGATTTTGAAACGCCAAGCGCTTCGCCAGGGACGTCGGGCGTAGGGTTTAGGGTTCAGGGAATTTCGGGTGTAGGGTTTAGGGTGTACGGCCAAGGGCTGTTTGGGTTGCGAGTCTAGGTCCAGGTGACGCGCAATTGCGCGACTCGATGTGAAAAGCAGCAATGACCACCATGAGCTTACTTGTGTCTGTGATTGCTATGTACGTGCCTAAACCCTAAACCCTAAACCCTAAACCCTAAATGCCCTTAACCCGTATAGACCCAATATAACCTTTAAGAGAACTCATGGACCCCACTGCAACCATAGACCCAGAGATCCAAAATACCCCTCAACTAAGGAATATACCTTAGATCATGATATTAAGGCCCCAATTATTTAAGGCATATTCATATTCTTATAACTTATATATTCTTTAATCAAGGGGTATTGGGTTCTCTGGGGACCCCTCATCATGCATGTACCTGAACTGCGTGGTACGTTGCGGAATCGGAAGCAGGGTTCCAGATTGGCTCCGGGGCTTCGGAACGGTTGAGGGTTTAGAGGTTTAGGGGTTTAGGGTTTAGGGTTTGGCGGTTGAGGGTTTGGGGGTTTAGGGTTTAGGGTTTTAGGGGTTAGGGTTTAGGGTTTAGGAACTTCTTAAACCAGCAGAGGGGCTGCACAACAGGACTGCAACTGCGTTTAGAGCCTATTTGATGCACGTGCTACGTTTTGCAGAAGCGCGAAAGCCACACGCTGGTTCGGCGTTTGCTGCGGCGCAGCCGGCTGCTGTGCGAAAGCCAACACCTTCGGCGCCGTGGGCCGCGGCGCAGTGCTCGCCGCTTTCTGCGGCCGCTGTGCGAAAGGCAGAACGTGCCAAGATTGCCGCCACAGCCGCCTTGCGCACAGCAGCAACAGGTTATGAGCCCAAACTGTGGTGTATCACACCAATCAAAAGTGCCATACCAGAAGCATGCTTAAAGGCTCATGGGACTTAGTAAGTAAGGTTAGGTTATAATTAGGATTACCCCACTTAGGGGACTTATAACCCCAATTATAACCTACCTACTAAGTCCCATGATCCTCTAAGTGACCCTCATCTGCAGTTTGTGGCATTGCGCCACTCTCAGGGAGCTCGGCTGCTGCATTTTTTGCGACGTTTGAAAGACCGAAGGAGCCTCCACTGCGAGCTTCTGCTCAAAGGGGAAAAGGAGGGACTCTTAGTGGGGACCCCTACCCTATAATGGGCTATATCATAGGTATATAATAGCTATATTAAGGGTATATACCTAGGCGTCCCTGAAGCTTCTGCACTTCCCAGAGAACCCAATACCCCTCAATTAAGAGATATATCTTACATAATAGGGGCCTTAATATCATGATTCAAAGTATATTTCTTAATTAAGGGGTATTGGGATCTCTGGGTTGCTCCTGCAAGGCCGACACACGAGCAGCCTGAGCCCGCCGCCCAAAGGATCATGGGACTTAGTAACTAGGGTTATAATTAAGGTAACTATACTTACAATTACTTATAATTGCTTATATCCTTATAACCATACTGACTAAGTCCCATGATCCTCCAAGTGTGCCTCAACCAATGCCTGGAACTCTCGCTGCATGACCGCGGGCCAATCAGGAAAGCGTCGCCCTCGCTTCCAGCAACTGCCTAAACCCTAAACCCTAAACCCTAAATCCTAACCTTGAACCCTAAACCCTAAACCCTAAAACCCAAACCACAAACGATTCCATAACCTAACCCGAAACCTCAAAACCGATAAATCCTAAACCTAGAGCTCCTTCGTACGGTGGGAAAGGAATGAAAAAATCGAGGACAGACTCCGTGAGGAAATTGTGGCTTCTAGCGTGTTCCTTTCGGGATCCTTTCAGGGATGCATAAGGGATCAAGAATTCTATGAAGTTTAAGAGCTCGTAGGACTTGCAGGTTAGGGTGTTGGGCTTAGGGTCTCGTCAGGCTGCAAAAAAAGCCATGAACATTGATCCTTGCACCCTCACATCCCAATTAGAACCCTAAACCCTAAACCCCTAAACCTTAAAACCATAAACCGCTAAGCCCTAAAGCCCCTAAACTTTAAAACCCTAAACCCTAAACCGCCAAACCCTGAAGCCCCCAAGCCCTGAAGCGCCCCCTAAGAGCACCTAAACCCTATAGATCCCTCTCCCTTAAAGGAACTCCTACTCGCCCTAAAAGCCCCTAAAAACCCAAAACCCTAAACTCCTAAACCCCTAACCCCTAGACCCTACACCCCTAAACCCCTAACCCCTAAACCCTTAAACCCTAAACCCATAAGAGCCCCCCCGCTTTTAAGCCGAAAGGCTCGCCAATCCGAAGCTGGTGCTGCCAGATTTTCCGAGGGTCGGCCGGACCTTTTGGGTGCCAGGTGTGCGGTTTGGGGTGTAGGGTTCCTTAAAGGGATCTGTAGGGTTTAGGATTTCGGGTGTAGGGCTTTTAGGGTTCCTTATGATGGGATCTATAGGGTTTAGGGTTTTAGGGTTTATGGTTTTGGGGT